GAGGCTCAAAGAATCCTGTTTTTTCTCTAGCAGCAATGAATCAGCATTCCCTAATTTGTTATTGATGGCTACTTTATAGAACATAATCTAATTATGGCAAATAATAAGAATTAACATTGTTTTTATTAAATATCCTTTATTAAATATTAAATATCATTTTTAACATAAAAGTTCAAGTTGTTTTGCTTTTTTTTGAAACTTTTTTGTTATTATTTATGTTATTATTATTTGTTACAAATACATAGATAGGGTGCAATGGAGCACACCTGTAATCCTAATGACTAGGAAAACTGAGGTGGGAGGATCACAAGTTGGAGACCAGACCAAGTAACTTGCTAAGAACCTGTCTCAAAATAAAAAAGGGCTGGTGATACAGCTCAGTAGTGGAGCACTTGCATAGTGAGACCCAGTGTTTTATCCCTAGTAGCATACTCACACACAAAAGATGCAGAGAATACTGTGTACAAAAATCACTTTTTCCAGGGCTTAAGGTTTAGCTCAGTCGTGCAACACATGGCTGAGGCCCTGGGTTCAATCCCCAATACACATATAAGAACTTTGGGGCATATTTTTGGGGTTTAGTATGTTTTCGATTTTAAGTTTACTTTTTTAATTTTTATTTTTTTTGACTATATAAACACATACATGGATCAAAAGTCTCACTATAAAGAAAGGTTTCACTTTCATCCGTTTTCAGTTAATCTTTTATTTTCAGAGTCTAGTTGAACTTTACAGAGGTTTTGAAATGCAAAACATCTACGTATATATGTGTGTGTGTGTATAAATAAACACACACACACTTCTTTTCATATATGCGTGTACATATATTTATATATTGATTTTTAACCACATGCCCTGGAAATCACTGTATACAGCTATTTAGAAACGATCATGTTTTATTAGGCTGCGTGTTCACTTATAAGCACTACGGTTTATTCAGTTCATTTTGAAGTGTGGCAGACAGGCACTCCACTTGCAGGAATCAGATTTAACAATGCAATCATGGCTCCACAACTTGTTGAATGTTGCATCTTGAGCCAGCCATTTATAATCTTTGTGTCTCGTCCGTAAAATGAGGCTGTTGTGGGATAAATAACCCACAGCTCATTTGCTGTTGCGAGCAGCACATCAATTAATACACTTAAAGTGCTTATGAGAGCTCAAGGCATAGCATAGAGGAAGCCTTTGACTAAAAAGCCGGGTGGGTGGAAGTGATGGAGATTTGTACAGTTTCGAGTGTGCTGGGAAAACCTGCGGACGTCACAGAATATTTCTAGGGCCTGTGTGATGTAGGAAAAAGGACACAGGCTTCCCCTGAAGTTCTCACAGCCTTGGGTCCGGGAAGTTTCGCCATTAGGGAAGGTCGAGGACACCAACGAGTGCGCTGAGAAGCTCAATGCTGCAGTACTGCCAACAGGGAAGCACGTTCCCAACCAGACGCTCAAGCCCTTCAGTCTCCCGGTAGTTGAGAGCAGAGTGGTCTCCAGTGTCAGTCCACAGATCTGAAGCAGCTGCCCGCCCGGAACCACAAATCAGCCGGCAGTGGTTGCAAAAAATTACTCGAAGTGCGCCGGGGGCGGAGCGCGCCGGGGAAGGGGAGGAGCCACGTCCGTGGCGCCAAATCTCAAGCATGGCGCCTGAACGAGTGCGGAGCCGAGTGCTCTCAGCCTTCAAGCTGCGTGGCTTGCTGCTCCGAGGGTGAGTCTGCCAGGGCAACTGACCTGGTGGGAGGGTAGATTCAGGGCTCGGCTGCGGCGCCGGGGAGCGGGACACGCCGCGGCGCCCCCAGCGCTCAAAGAGGAGGTTTGACCTTAAATGACAGACCCTTAAAAAAGCTAGGTCAAACTGGCATGATCTTGAGGCTGCAGTGCTTTCCTAGGTTTCCCCGACGTTCGTGGGCAGTCAAATGCTTCTTCTTGGCGGGGCCAGGAGTTCCTGGACACTTGAGCCTGAGAAGCAGCGATCTGTCTCCTAGAAGTCCTTTAGCACTGGGACTTGGGCACCTCTCAGTCTGCGGAAGTATCCGCCTCTGCCCGAGGCGAATCATAACAAAGCAACTTCACATAGTTACTGAGACATCAAATTATGAGACCTGGGAGGTAGGAATGATGGTGGAATGAGATAGACATCATTACCCTAAGTACATGTATAAGACACGAATGGTGTGAAAATACTTTGTGTACAACCATTGTCTTGAAAAATTGTGCTCTATATGTGTAATATGAAATGAATTGCATTATGCCATAATGTATAACAAATCAGGAAAAAAAAAAAAAAAGAGAGACCTAGGAGGTCTCTACCATGCATGTCAGGAGTTGCTAATTTATATTGTTGCAGAAACTGTGGGCCTCCCAACCCTCCCGGGTTGGGAGTTTTGGATTATTTATTATTTCCAGTATAATTAAATGGATTTTTTAGGTGTCCACTTGGATTCTTTGTAAGATTCCCTTTATAACGTCTCAGAAAGTCAGGTTTCCTGACCATATGTGTTTTTTAGAACATATCGAATGACTATATCCAAGATCACGCTCATTAAATCTGCGTTGTATTTTTATAATACAATTTTATACATATTTAAATGCTTGCTGAATCAGGTTTTGATTGCTGTAATGTATGTAGAGTTTTTTTGTTCTGTTTTGGATTTTCGTTTATTTATTTTTAGGGATCTCAGGTATGGACTCCAGGGCCTCATGCATGCTAACAAGCACTCTGCCACTGAGCAACATCCCAGCCCAGTTTTGTGGAACTTATAACATTGTTTTGTGTTAGTGGTGAACAAAAGCCAGTGTGAATATACCCTCCAAGAAAATAATGAATTCTGTTCAGTTGATTTCTGACATTTTCTGACAATTGATCAATATGAGCAATTGGTCAATTAACTTTTCTTTTACTTGGAATTTGACCTAAAATTAAGCTGTTTTTCATTCATTAAGTTAGAAATCCACTTAAATCTTTTAGGTGCAAAGCACTGTGCTGGAGCAACTGGGGTAAGACATTGCGGAGCTTTAGGGTGGAGGAAGAGAGTATATTACCTATTGCTGCATAACAAGTTACCTTAAAACTTAGAGGCCAAAACAAATAAGTGCTCTACATTTCCTGGGGGCCAGGAACACAGGTATGGCTTAGTATTTAGTTTCATTAAATTAATTTTAATTTCATTAAATTTATTTAATTTCCTTTGTGAAAGGATTCCAGGAAAGAAGTGCTATACAAATGTATGACAAGGTGTTTAAATTGCTATAGAATGAAGGAAGGGCTTCATTGAAGAAATGGTTTGGGTTGAGTGTTAAAGAATGGGCAGGATTTGACTAGATGGAGGGAGAGGATGAGGAAATGGCTGTATAAAAACCCTGAAGCAGGAGAGCACCAGGAAGGCCAAACATAACTACAGAGAACTTGATGAGCTATGGCAGGGGCCAGATCCTCTATGACTTTACAGGTTTTGGTCTACCTTAAGAGCTGTCACCTTAAAATGTTTGTGATTTTAGGGATTCAGTCAGCAAATATTTATGGGCCACCTTCAAGTGTGCTTAGGTACTGGTAAAGGATGACAGTTTCAGTTCTCAAGTTATCTATAACTCAATTATCAGTTATCTATAATTGGAGAGATGTGATATCCACATTTGAAACAATAAGCAACCCAACATAGAACAATTAATGTTGTGATTATAACAATAATATTGATGTAAAGTATTAAGTCGTGTGCTACAAATACAGAATAGTATTTAATTAGCTAATTGTTTAAGCAGGTGGTGCTGAGCATGATTAGTATTTAAATCAGGAATTCATTGATTTTAATATGGGAGTTGCTTCTGTGATTATATTCAAATATAATTTTTGTATATAATATAATTTTTTATATAATATAAATTTAAATATAAATTTGCTTATTTTTGCAGTGCTAGGGATCGACTCAGGGCGTGATAAAGTTTTACCCAAAGTTTTTGGAGCCTATTTTTTAAAAATAATTTTACAATTAAAAACAATGATGAAATTATTGGAATTTACTTTGAAAAAATGCATTATCAATTACATATATAAATGTTCATTATGTTCCAGATATGGTGTCTGATATTTGAATTGAGGCAAACAAATTCCTGCCTTAAAAGTAAGGTAATGAGGGCTGGGGTTGTGGCTCAGTGGTAGAGTGCTCACCTAGCACGTGTGGCCCTAGGTTAGAACCTCAGTACCACATAAAAATAAATAAATAAAATAAAGGTATTGTATCCAACTACAACTAAAAAAAAAAGGTAAGGTAATAAATAATATGAGGCTATTGTGATATATCAAACTTAAAGGGTATGTACATGTGATTTTTAACAATTTCAAAAGGAAGGGGAGATTGCAGTAGGGTGGACTGATCTAGACAGGCCTTAGAGGAAGGATGTGATTTGGGGTTTTAAGAATTGTTATGTTGCCAGGTGTGGTGGCACATACTTATGTCAGTGACTTGGGAGGCTGATGCAGGAGGATCACAAGTTCAAAGTCAGCTTCAGCAACTTAGTGAGGCCCTAAGCAACTTAGTGAGACCCTATCTCAAAAGAAAAATTAAAAAGGACTGGGGATGTTGCTCAGTGGTTAAGCATCTCTGGGTTCAATTCCTGATCCCCCCCCCCCCCTCCAAAAAAACAAAAAACTAGGCTGAGTGGTAGAGTGCTTGCCTAGCCTGTGTTAGGCACTGGGTCAGATCTTTAGCACCATATAAAATAAAAAAATGAAATAAAAATAAATAAATAAATAAAAATAAGTAAAATAATAAATAAATAAATAAAAGTATTGTGTTCATGTACAACTAAAAAAATTTTCTTAAAAAAGAACTGTTGTTAGCAAGGGATAGAAGGATAGTTTTGTACAGAAAGTGCAGGAAAGGTAAGTACTGCTTGAAGGGAGGAGTGAGTGAATCTTAATTTAATGCCAGATTGATGAATGTGTGCCGCTTTTTGATATAGCATTTTTACCCTTTCATTACCAGTGACCTGCCTCTTCTTTCCTTCTCTTAGTGAAGCTATTAAGTACCTTACAGAAGCTCTTCAATCAACCAATGAATTGGAACTTGAAGATATCCTGGAAAAGATCATCGATGCAGTTGAAAAGCAGCCCTGTAAGTAACATTTTCTTATAACTCCTAAATTGTTAATATAGCTATATATTATCAATTAGATTTTTAGATTTAAATAGTTGAGGATTCTGTATTAAGACTCTCCAGTGTTATGAGATATGCATGGTGGTATTTCTTCCCAAATTAGTTCAGTTGTAACCTCAGGATATTCCCTAGGATCCTTTACAGACACCCCACCACCACCACCACCACCCGCCACCCCCGTGGTGGAGTTATCATGGCCATCTTTTCTTTTTAGGTTAAGTACTCCTAAATGGGGAAAAGGAAAAGTAAAGCAGGGCTAACTCTCCCTTGCTTTTTTCAGAGATCTTTTGGTTGAATTCTTTATCTGATACCATTAGCCTGGGCCTATAAAGGAAAAATTAATGCCCTTCTCTTTGGGAAAAAAATTGTTCAGTTTTATTGCCCTAAAGGATAGAAGTAAATGTGACTCATTTTCATGTTGTTAAGAAGTGAGAATTTTTAATTATGTAGCAAGTTACATATTCTATAATGATGTTATATTCTATAATAATAATTCTATAATAATGTTATTTTCTGCTTTTTTACTTCTAAAAGCAGGATTTTAAATATACCTTTGCTTTAAAAATTCTTTATAGCCAGCATGGTGGTGCATGCCTATAATCCCCGTGGGAGGCTGAGACAGGAGGATTGCAAGTTCTGTACCAGCCTCAGCAATTTAGTGAGGTCCAAGCAACTTAGCACAACTCTGTCTCAAAATAGAAAATAAAAAAGGGCATGCATTAATTCATTAACCTAAGATAACACATGGCATGTTGTCTGAAGACATACCGTAGTAGTTAAGGCTGCCCACTTTGGAATTAGGCCTGAGTTTGCATTGTTCTCTATCCCTCTAGTTATATTCTTGGGTGGTTACTCAACTTTTCAAAGTTGTACTTTCTTCATCTATAAGATGCAGGCATATTAACATTAGTGCTACAGAACATCTGTCTAATAGAATAATGCTTGTAAAGTTCTAAGCAAGTGTCTGTCTAATAGAATAATGCTTGTAAAGTTCTAAGTAAGTTCTGTCTATACATTAACTAGTTGCTTAAGTAATGGCAGCCATTATTATTACTATTATACTTACTGAAATAGAAATTGTGATAAAGTTATACTAATGTAACCTTTTTAAAATTGGGGGCTTACATAAATGGTTTTTATAAGTAAGTTTATATTATTAATCCAAGTCAGAAATGCTCCAAAATCTAAGACTATTTGAGTTCAACAGGATACCCTAAGAGGAAAATTTCATGCCTGCATGTGACAGGTCACAATCACAAGCTATGTGTATAAGGTGTATAAGAATTTCATGTTTAGACTTGGATCCCATCCCCAATATAGCTCACTATGTGTATGCAGATATACTAAAACCCCCCCAAATTAGAAATCTGAAATACTTCTGGTCCCAAGTATTTTGGATAAGGGATACTAAAGCTATGATGAGAATTCCTGTATTAGTATTTGATGTTATTTTTAACTAAACAGCTATCTAGGAAGAAATACTTCCTTGTTTCTTAAAATTTGACATTGAAGCCTGGCATGGTGGCACATGCCTCTAATCCAGCAACTTGGTAGGCTGAGGTAGGAGCATTGCAAGTTCCAGGTCTTGGCAACTTATGAGACCCTATCTCAAAATTAAAAAAAAAAAAAAAAAGTTGTGGTCTGGGGTTTTAGTACAGTGGTAGAGCACCCCAGGGTTCAGTATTTAATACCACAAATTAAAAAAAAAAAGTGAAAAATATAAATTGGTTTTGAACTTCTCTTTTCAGTGTCATCCAACATGATTGAACGATCTGTAGTGGAAACCGCAGTCCAGGAATGCAGCCAGTCTGTTGATGAAACTATGTATGTGGGTACAATGAACTTTGCTCCCTAATGGAAGTGTTTTTGAGTGCTTTTTTTTTTTTTTTTTTTTAAATTTGTTCAACAGGTATTTATTTATTGTTGAGTTAATCACTTTCTTGGGGAAATACTTAGTGGCCAAAATTTTTACAGTGAAGAGATAAGGCTGGGCTGGGATTGTGGCTCAGTGGTAGAGTGCTTGCCTAGGCAATTTAGCATGACCCTATTTCAAACAAAATAATAAAGGCTGAGGATGTGGCTCAGTGGTAGAGCGCTTGCCTACCATGCTTGAGGCTCTGGGTTTATCCCTAGTACCACAGTGAGAAAGAGAGAAAAAAGAAATTAAAAATGATTACACTGAAGTTCAAGGGTTACAATTTAAAATGGGTATTACCCATTGTTTATGATAAAGTTATCTGTTGTTTCTGTCAGGCTATTTATGTACTGTCACCGACCAGTATAGAAGTCCAGTGGAAACTGAAGAGTGAAAGGTCTTTGTAGCTGCAGTTGTCAGAAAGTCATCATATCAAAGCATGAGAGAGGCTCTCAGTTTCATAGATTAAGAAACTAATGTGCCAAGAGTGATAGAAAATAGTGGAGCTGTTTTTGGAATTTAGATTTTCTTCAGTTCTACTGATTCTTTGCTACTCTTGTTCATACCAGGGTGGTGTGAACCTTGTTTGACCATTTTCAATTTGGGAGATTAACATAATGTTTTAGATGGGAACACTTACGAAATGGTGGTATAAATTTTTTTTTAACCTCACTTAAACATCATTGTATTATTAACAGAGTCTGAAATTAAGTTATTTCATTGGTTTTTCTATCTAACACTATATAAATTTCAAGATATGGCCAGTGTGGGGGCGTTATTTTTCTATTATAAAACTTCCTTAGACACTTTCCACATAATCTTCTAAATTTAAAAAATTGTTGGAAGTGAATCATATGCTTCTTTTATGCTTCATATATTGTGGCTTATAAAAGAAGTAGATACAGGGAGAGATTTTAAATGTGTCTATTATGTACAAATGTTCTTTCAATGGATGACATTCTTTTTTTTTTTTTTTTTTTGTAGTTGTGTATGGACAGCATGCCTTTATTTTATTTGTTAATTTTTATGTGGTGCTAAGGATCGAACCTAGTGCCTCACATGTGCTAGGCAAGTGCTCTACCACTGAGCTACAACCTCAGCCCAGATGACATTCTTAATTAGAAATTAACTTGATAATTTTTTTTTTTCTTGTGAGAATTGAGAATGTTTCCTTGTCTCTTCCAAGGAGAATGTACAAGTTAAAAACTTTACCCCTGTTATCTTTTTCTTTTTTTCTAAATATTTTTATTCATTCATTATAATTATACATAATAGTGGGATTCATTGTGACATATTTGTACATGTCTATCCCCCATGTTATTTAAAAAAATTTTTTTTTATCTGTAGATGGACATAAACCTTTAATTAATTAATTTATTTTTATGCGGTGCTAAAGCTTAAACCCAGTGCTTCACGTGTATTGGGCAAGTGCTCTACCACTAAGCTACAACCACAGCACTAGCATGTTATTTGTGATACTATAAGAAATTGTGTACATGGACTGAGAAAATGTGAAAGATCTGCTGTACATGATACAGGATTATAATGCAAGTTATGTTTACCTAGAATATTTATGTTTTAGTAAATCAGCTCTGTGTTTTGTGGGATGTTTTTCAGAGAGCATATTTTCAATATCATAGGAGCTTTTGATGTTCCACGTTTTCTGTACAATTCGGAAAGAAAAAAATTTCTTCCGTAAGTATATCATCTATTGATTTTAAGTTAATTTAGGATGTGCATTTTTTTTCAAAAGGTATGTGATCTCATGTTTCACTTTTGGCCTATCTTTGTGATAGTAAAAGAAATCATTTTTTTTTCCCTAGTCTATTAATGACCAAACACCCTACGCCAAATTTATTTGGAACTGCAAGAGATAAAGCAGAGCTATATCGTGAACGATACACCATTTTGCACCAGGTAAGTTGGAGGGTGGAAGCATTGGTAATGTGAGGAGAAAAAAGACCAATTTTGCTTTCAGAAAAATCTCAGGAATTTTTTAAGGATGGAATTTTGTAGTGCAAAGTTAGTCTTTTAATAAAATATTATTGGGCTCACTGAGATTGAGACTATATTCCTCTTAGCAATGATGATAAAAGTAGTGGCTAACTTTTAATAAATGATTTTGATAGGCCAGGCACTGTGTTTAGTACTTTACATACATAATCCTCTCACACTACTAGGTATGTATAAATGTTATCACTATCCCTTTTCACAGATGTAGAAAATGAGGCCTAGAGAAGTTTAGTAACTTGTCCCCTTGTCTAGTAAGTAAGTAGAGATAGGATTTTAATACAGTCTGCCTGACTCTGGAGCCCAGTCTTTGCCTACTGTACTATATACTACCTTCAAACAAAGTGGAATTTTGTATGTGTTTTAAAAGAAGATGCATTCAGTGGAAAAGTCAGGGAAAGCTTCAAGGAGTAATAGCATTTTACATGGTTGTGTGTAAATGGAGAAAAGGTAGTCATAGCCCAGTGTGGTGGTACATACCTGTAATCCCAGGAGCTTGGAAGACTGAGGCAGGAGGATCGAGAGTTCAAAGCCAGCCTCAGCAAAAGTGAGGCACTAAGCAACTCAGTGAGACCCTGTCTCTAAATAAAATAAAAATAGGGCTGGGGATGTTGCTCCGCAGTCAAGTATCCCTGAGTTCAATCCCCAGTACCGAAACAAAAATGTGGCCCTAACAGTGAACAAAGACCAGCAAAGCAAAAAATGGATTCTGTAGAGTAGACGTTGAGCAGTCAGGAGTAGCATAAGGTGTTTGGAAAGGCAAGTGGGAACCGAATCATGGGATCACTTTGGATGCCACTCTTGGAAGTTGGGACTTTGTTCTTTTGGTACAGAGAGCCTTGAAATACCAGACAGAATCGGTCACAGCTGGGTCTTGTGAGTGCTTCCTCTATCAGCAGATTTGAGAATGAATTAGAGTGTGAGAGAAGACATGGGAATCTGTGGAATTACTCCTGGCATAAATTATTGTCTGGATAAAAGAAAGTAGCAAGTGGGGTAGAAAAAGTAACAGCTCTGGAGCTGCAGAACCATCATTCATGGTGACTGATTGAATGTGAAGAAGAAGGGAGAGGTAAAAAAAAGATAAATACGGGATGGGTGCACATGCCTATAATCCCAGCGCCTATAGTCCCAGCAGTTTGGGAGGCTGAAGGAGGAGGATCCCAAGTTCAAAGCCAACCTCAGCAACTTAGCAAGACCCTGAGCAACTCAGTGAGACCCTGTCTCTAAATAAAATATAACAAAAGGCTGGGGATATGACTTAGTAGTTAAGTGCCCCTGGGTTCAATCCCTGGTACCAACAATAAACAAACAAACAAACAAGTCTAGAGGTTTGCTGGTTTCAAGCATGGCTAGATCCAGGTGCTCACACAATGTCATGAGGCATCTGTCTTTTCCTGTGTTCTCTTTCTGTAAATTGATTATACTTTCAAACAAGTTCTCTCTTTGAAGTGACAAAGATGGCCAGTAGTAGCCTTAGCAACTCTCTCTTTCCAATAGTCTTAACAAAAGTCTCAACTCCCTCTTTTCTAATAGTCGTAACAAAAATCATGAATATATCTCCTGTTGGCTTAGCTTGAGGCACTAGATCATCCCTGGATCAGTCACTAGTCAAGAAGATGGAGTACTTTGATTTTCTAGGCCTTGGTAGCTTGTCCGTAAAAGGGGAGAAGGGAGAGCAGCCCTACCTATGCTATATGAATGAGGGCGGAGGGAGAGGAGTACTGATTCATCAAATAGTTGCTCTTACTAATCTCTTGTCGTGTCTGACATTCTGCCTTGTGCACCCTATGACAGGCTGTACCAAACTCTACATAGCTTCCCACACTCTCCTTTACTCTTATGCTTCTTTCTTTGGACATGCCTATCTCTCTTCCTGTAGTGTTGCAGCCTGCTTTTACTCCTTTTTTAAAATTTATTTAGCATCTTGTTAAATGACACCTTTGACCCATTGCACAGTCAGTTCTCACAGTACTTTGTTGTACAGTGGCATAGCTTTTTCACTGACTTCAGTGCTTAGCTTTTTAATATTTTTCTTGTTTTAAAAGCTATTAGAGGAGCTGGTGTTGTAGCTCAGTGGTAGAGTGCTTGCCTAGCATATGTGAGACACTAGGTTTGATTCTCAGCATATAAATAAATGAACAAAATAAAGGTCCATCAATGTCTAAAAAAATATTTTTAAAAAAGGTACTAGATATTTGTATATTGATAAATTATATGGGTTTTCAATTTTGTTGAGAATAGGTAACAGGCTGGGTGTATACCTGTAATTCCAGCAACTTGGGAGGTTGAGGCAGGAGGATTGCAAGTTTGAGGTTAGTAGTGGATGTAGCTCCTGGTTAAATCTCCAGTGCCAAAAAAAAAAAAAATAGGTAACAGTTAAGTCACAGTGTTTCATCATCATACTACTCAACTGCATCTTAGATCCCTGCCTCCCAGTACTGAGGGCTGAACCTAGGGGTGCTTTATCACTGAGCTATACCCCTAGCCCTTCTTACATTTTATTTTGAGACAGGGTCTCATTAACTTGCTGAGGCTGGTTTCAACTTTGGAATCCTCCTGCCTCAACCTCCTCAAGGGCTGGGATTACAGTTGTGCACTATTATACCTGATCTGAATCTTAGTTTTGAATGTCTGCTTCTATAACTCAAGGGAATCTTTTTTTTTTTTTCCTAGAGGACCCACAGGCATGAATTGTTCACTCCTCCAGTGATAGGTTCTCAACCTGATGAAAGCGGAAGCAAATTCCAGGTTAGAATATTATTCTAATTATTTAGGGGGGTATAAGCATAAGAGTTTAATTTTGATTGCTTAATTTTAATTCACTGTATTTTACATGAAAGTGAACTACTGTAAATGTTTAACTAGCTGGCCTGGCTGTGTGCCTGCTGTTGATAAAGTCCACGCCTACTATCCTGAGTCCTGTAGTTGTCCATTGGAAGTTGTACTTCTTCTTTGGAGCAAGACTGAATACCAGGGTAGACCCTGGGTACTCTCTGGCCTCAAAGACAGTTCTTAGACCTCCCACTCCAGTGCTGGATACTGTACTGGCTTTCTGACCAACTTTTAACATTACCCTTCCTGCCCTTACTCATCTGTGAAATTCTGGCCCCTGCCCATCCCTGTCATGATCACCACATACATGGTCAACTAAAACCTGATACACTATGTCAGTTGGAGTGAATACTTAAGGAAACACTGGCTTCAATCACCAACACACACACACACACACACCCAGAGATTCAAAGGAAGCAACACTTACAGAACGAATGAGAATACAGACTGGCTCTAGAGTTGGTGAAACTTGAAGAAAGAGAAGATGTTTTCTGTTGAGTTTGAGCTCCTTCCATTTCTATACTCTTGTATTTTGGAAAGCAGGTACCAAACAGCACTTTCACTTCATTTCAGCAATTTACCCGGCCACTGTCAGTCCATCTGTGGCTCTGTCCCATTTCTCTAGCATGCAGAACCCTGCTAGGGACTAGTTCTTAGCTTCTACTTCCATGTAGGTTTCATTGTCATTAGGCTTTGAAGAGATTTTAATGTTCATATTAGATTAGAACTCATGAGTAGTCTGTTAGAAGTGAAATAGTGATACCGGATAACATACAAAGAAATGTTCAGTGGCAGCACTGCAAAGAGATAACACAGTGTTTGACAGTTTCTGCTTTTTACTTTTATTAAGTATACATCCTGTTATGTTTTGGAAGTTGACATGATTTATATTTCGTTACTGAAGACTGTTCTGTCTGAATGTTTTCCTTCTACATATTAAGTTTTCTGTGATAAGTCAGATGCCCACAGCCCAGAAGCATTTTTAATCTTTTCTTAGCTTAGCTAAATGATTCATTGCTCTTTTCAATCTTTCTGTTTAATTCTATATCTGTGCAGGTACATTTCCTATTTAAACTACATTTATAATACCTGAACAGTAAACTGCCTTTACAGACTACAGAAACTGTATTCAGAAATATATTGTCATATTTTTGTATTCCTATGTTGTTTTAGTCTCTCTCCTTCTTTCTTTTTTTGATAGCACTGGGAATTGAACCCAGGGCTTTAAGCATGGAAGGCAAGTGCCCTACCACTGAGCTACATTCCAGCCCTAAGCTCATGTTTTTAAGTGAACTCCAGTAGTAAATGTTAATGATAGGGTTATGCATGTCTATGTGCCTTCCTTATCTATATTCAAAATTTTTTAAATAGTAAACATGGATAATTTACAATAAAAATATGGCAAAGATAAAAGAATGGTATAGGAATGAGAAATTATATATCTTTTTATCCAGTGATTCCATCTGGAATTTGTAGAAGTCCTTCAAGAGTTATCCAAACAGCAGGCCAAGGAAGGTACTTAGAAATATTAAGCATTGTTTTCATTGCAGAAAACTGGGAACAACCGAACTGTTCTTTAATAAGCTTTTCATAAAATGTTGGATGTGCAGTAGTCTGTTGGTATCTGAGAGGGGTTGTTTATGGGACTGCTCCCCTGAGGACACTGAAATCTGAGGATGCTCAAGTTCTTTATGTAGTAAGATGGCATACTATCTGCATATAGCCTAGACAGCTCCTCCTTTATACTTCATATCATCTCTAGATTACTTATAACACCTAATACAATGTAAATGCTATATAAATAATTGTTATAATGTATTGCATAGGTACATGTTCAGTGGAGGCACAATTTTTTTTTTCAAATATTTTTGATCCAGAATTGGTTGAATCCACAGAAGTGGGATTCATAGACATGAAGGACTATATGTGTATTTATGCATATGTAAGAATATGTGTAGGGGGCTGGGTTGTAGCTCAGTGGTAGGACACTTGCCTAGCACACGTGATGGCACTGGGTTTGATCTTCAGCACCACATAAAAATAAATAAAGATGTTGTACCAATCTAAAATAATAATAATAATAAAGAGTATGTATAGGGGTTGGGGTTGTAGCTCCATGGTGGTAGCATACTTAACCTAGCACACATGAGGCACTGGTTTCAATCCTCAGCACCACATAAAAACAAATAAATAAAATAAAGGTTAAATTCTTAAAAAAAAAAAAAAAAAAAGATTATGCATAGGAAAAAAACATGAAAGAATGTTTTAAAAATAATGCCTGAATAAACTTTCTGATTAAAATTATAATGGTCAGATTGAGCATATAAATCATAAGCTTTCAAAATACTAAATTGAATCAGATTAAACTTTAAAAAGCTAATTTTTGATAAGTACCAATCAAATAAATAAAAATCAATATTTTCTATATTAAAAAAAATAAATGTTCTTATTTTTTAGAATAAGTAGTCATGCAGCTTCAATCATTGATCAAGACCTGAACTGATATATTTCCTTAAGCATAGTTTTTCTGATCCATCATATACTTGATAGTATACCTTTGTAAGATAAAATTTAACTTTCTAAGTTTCATTTTATTTTTTTAATATTTTTTAGTTGTGGATGGACCTTTATTTTACCTACGTTATGTGGTGCTGAGAATTGAACCCAGTGCCTCATACCTGGTAGGCAAGCGCTCTTCTACTTAGCTACAACCACAGCCCCTAAGTTATTTTTTAAATTTTATACTGTGATGTAGCTGTAAATAATAAAATGTGAACCTCAAATTTACTTATTTATAAAATGATTGGTTTTTAAAAGAATATGTTTTCAATCTTTAAGAATTTGTATTGTTTTTATTTTAGCTTAAAACAATAGAAACCTTATTGGGTAGTACAACCAAAATTGGAGATGTGATTATTCTTGGAATGATAACCCAATTAAAAGAGGTAAGTTAAACTTAGTAGGCATCAGACTTATTTTCAAACTGATGTTGAAATGTTGGTGCCATAGAGCATTTCTGAAGAGTACAAGATCGTCTTCTTCACTGAAAACTCTTACCTCATTCACCAAGTTAGCATTTTTATCTGTGCTTGGTTTCCTGAGCAGACATCAGGAAGGAGGATCTATCTATTCCAGGTGCTCAATTTGCATAGCCTGAAATTAGGCTCCAGTGTCCTCTAGTTGAACTGAAATTCTGGGTTTCTGTACAAGCAAACTGCACACCGTATCCTGGTCCCCTCAAGATGCTGGTGGCTCCCATAGATGAAGGCACCCAGGAGTCCCTCTTGTGACCTTTCAGTCTGTAGCAGTCATTCCTCAGGGTACCTGTGAGGAATCTGAGTCTCAATCTAGTGCTTAGTCTGAGGTCGCCAAACTAGTATAGTAAATATTAAAGCCTCGACTAGGAATTGCCAATATGTAAGAATCCATGTTCTCTCTACTACATTCAGTTGTCAAACTTGTCAGTATTTTAATTATTTGGTTGTAGTATTGATTTTTGCATAAGTATGAATATAATTCATTTCATTTTTGCAAAATTGTGAATATATTTCCATTTCATTCTGTTTTAGGGAAAATTTTTTCTTGAAGATCCTACTGGAACAGTACAATTGGATCTTAGTAAAGCTATATCCTTCAATTTAAAAAATCAAGTTAAAAAATTGTAGCTCAGTGGTAGAGAACTTGCCTACCATGTGTGAGGCACTGGGTTTAATCCTCAGCACCACATAAAAATAAATAAGTAAAATATAGGTATTATGTCCATCTATAAAAAAAATAATAATCTACATTACAGGACTGGAGGTATAGCTCATTGGTAAAATGCTCTCCTAGCATACATGAGGCCTTGTGTTCAATTCTTAGCACTGCAGGAAAAAAAAAAGAAAGAAAGAAATTAATGGTGAAATGTAACTAATTGTAACTTATTTTTATATACTAGTAGGATAGGAATATAGACATAGAATTCTAAACACAGATAAAACTACTTTAATTCCTTTTTTTGGAGTCTAGACAATCACTGAAGAAGTTTATAACACATTAAGAATGATTTCAATTGTCAGTATACCAAGCTTCTACATCTTAAATTATTAAAAATTATTTAAATCAAATTATTATTTAATTTAAATTATTTAAATTAGTTATTTAAATTATTTAAATTAAAATTATTATTATTTAAATTAAAATTATTTACATTATTTTTTAGGGCATTTAAACCTAAAAAACCTAAGCTGTGGTCTAAGCTGTAGACTATATTCATAATTTAAAATGTTTTTTGTTTCTTCTTTTTTTTGCTTGATAAACAGAAATTTATTTCTCACAGTTCTGACTTCTGGGAAGTTCACAGGCTGATTTGGTTCCTGGTCAGGACCTTCTTCCTGGCTTCTAGACAGTTGTCTCATTGCTGTGTCTATACATGGCGGAAGGAAAGAGCTCTTCTGTTCCCGCCCCACCCCCCTCCTTTTAAATCAACTTTTTATCTATTTTTTCTCCTTCCACATTTTTTATTGGTGCATTATAGTTATACATAGTGATGGGATTTGTTGTTACATACTCACACATGCATACAATATAACTATAATTTGGCCAATATCACTTTCCCCCTTCCCTGTCAGGTGCAAAATGTTTGAATTTATTATTTAGAAGTCTGTCTGGGCTCAAAATGTATGTTGACTTTATTACCACCATAAGGGTAGAAACAATTGTTTTCCTCAATGGTCGTGTACCAGTTCCACAGTGGTTTATACACAGAGGCATGCTTCGTTTTAGCAGAGGGTAAGTCAGTATACTTTTTTCCTTGTCTTCCTCTTTGTTCTATAGTAAAAACCATTTCTACATTGGGTAAGTTACGTTGAAGTTGACATGATATAGTTTGGGAAAACATTGATGATGAGAACTTCTTTCTCTGTTGTTAAATTTCCTGGTTTTTACTGAGATTATCTTTTTTTTTTTTTTTTGAGAGTATATTCTTTGTTTTTTTTTTTGGTTCTGGAGATTGAACAGGGGCAGATCTCCAGCTCTTTTTTTTTCCCTTATTTTGAGATATAGTGTCTCACTAAGTTGCTTAGGTCCTTGTTAAATTGCTGAGGCTGGCCACAATCCTCCTGAGTTGCTTGGATTACAGGCATGTGCTACCACGCCTGCTCTGGAGAGTATATTCTTGAGACCATAAAGTAAATCTTAGGCTGATAACAGGCTAATAGAAACCTTTTGGTAATAAAAATATTTAAAATTAGTAGAGATAGTAGTGTGATGTTCAAGTATACTAGAAATTGCTGGATTGTGTACTTATAAAGGGTGTATGGTATGTGAATTTTATCTCAATAAAGTTTAAAAAAACTCAGATTATACATAGGGGTCGTAAAATGAGATATTTCCTAATCTATGTATCTAATCTCCATATTTCAGCATGACTGAAAATTAAAAAAAAAATAGGATCCCCAGCACAATGAGAAGTCTGTTTTTATTTAAGGTGCTCTTATTTATTCAATTTAGACTTTCTGTGACTCTGAAGTTGTTATGTAGCTCAGTTGGATTGGTGGTACCTTTTGTAGTTAGTTAATAGCCGTGAGGTTATAGCCTAGGATTACTACTTTGTGTAACAGTTTTGTCCTTTCGCACAGGGAAAATTGACAAATAGAAGTGATTTGTTGCCTATCTTTTTTCAGGTTGGTTTGAAGATCAAGTATTTCATGTCAACGCCTTTGGATTTCCACCCACTGAACCTTCTAGTACTACAAGGTATAAAAATGTTTGACTTCAACTCTACAGGGATTTTATTATACTGGCAGTAGTAAATATAAGGTATATATCATACCGCAGTTATTACAGGTCTGAGGCTTTGTGTCAAGATGGAAAAAGCAATGGAAATGTGAGAAAATTAGGTTTTATAATAACGTAACTGTGGAATTAGCATTTTGGCTGGATATTAGTGGCTGTAGCATGTCTGATTGTTGGCTTTAACTGGAAAAGATTTCCAGTCTGCTTTTCTTACCTGTCCATAAAGATTGATGAGAAGTTTAAGTGAGGTCAGAGAGATAGGAAAACACTTAGAATATGATTCCTATATTAATATAAAGGTTTATTTATTTTTTGTATTCTACAAATGAATGAAAGTTCCAAGATGCAGATCATAGCACCTTAATATAAACAAAAGCATCCTAACATTGCAGCTACTCCAAAAGGGCCTCTCTGAGGAGTGTCAGTTCCCTTTCACTCATGGTATTTGAGCAGAGGCTGAATGATGGTAGAAGTTTAGCTGGGACCTAAGAGTTGAATGTGATTTGTAGACCTCCTCTCCCGGCCCTACAGTGTTAAAAAAGTTTTTTTAAAGCTAGTTTCCAAGGTATATTAATTAGATTTCTCATAAAAAGTCTTGTTTTCTGAATTCTCTTGAACTTTCAGATCTGATGATTATGGCATCTGAATTCTCACAGGGCAAAACTTAAACCATAGTGACTGCCTACATGGGCAAGGCATGTATGTGTGTGCTAGTTGGCCTTAGCTGACTAATGCTTTGATATTTAGTGTTATGTTCATGGAGCCTATAAGCATTTGAATATTCCTCTTGCTCCCATTTTTACACCTTATATTTTATTAACCAAGGAAAGAAGATATTTGTAAGGCTTTTTTCACCTTTAATTTCTCAAAAATCATCTTAATCAGTGTCTTTTTGTGATGCTCTGATTTATGTTTGGTGTAAATTTAATTCAAATCATCATACAATTATATCTACTTACCACATTCCTCTAATAACTGCAAGATTTTCATTAACATCAGACCTCTGAAAATGCCATGGTCAGTTGGTGGCAGTAGTAACAGTTATTATGTCTGAATACTCACATTATAGTAAGCACTGTGCTCTAAGGGCTTTCTGCAAATTATATCTTTTATTCCCTCTAGTAACCATGAGCAATAGGTATGAGTTTAGCCATATTGCATTTGAGGAATAGGGGTTTTAAAGGACTGATTAATTTGTCACATATCACACTTGTTAGTATCAGAGATGTGCTTTGATCCCCAAATTTCTGACTCCAAACATTATGCTACATTAGATAAGTAATTGAATCATTGAAACAGTTTCAGGGCATGGGGGGCTAAGGGTGTGCTCAGTGGTGAGTATGTGTCAGGCCGTGAGTTCAATCCCCTGCACACAAGGTTTTCTTCATATTACAAATGAAGTACATGATTGCAGAAATTAATTAGAAAATATATAAAGGCATAAAAAAGAAAAGTATTATCTGGAATTCTATTAAAACAGACTATTAAGATTACTTAATATATATATTACATGTTAAGGATATTATACATTAAGTATAATATATTATACTTAACAAATTAAGTCCAATTATATATAAGTAATATATATAATGTAGGTATTATGTATATATATAATACTTAGAATATTGTTTATATTTATACATAATGTATATATTATTTGTGTTCATAAATTTACAATACTACATCTAATATATGCATATATAGCATACATCAAATAGATTCTCATTATTCATGGTTCTAGCTTTCTCAATAAAATCTGTCTATAAACTAATACTTGTAGCCATGGTGGTTCCAAGAACATGAACCAAGAAAGAAAGATATTTGTAAGGTTAGAACAGTGGAAAATTTGAGTTGGCCAGGCATTCATAATCCCAGCTGAGGTGGAACAAGGTGACATTAGAAGATGACCAGAGGAAAGAGACTGAAATGGGCAGTGCAGGGTAGTGCAAGCAGCTCCAGCTCTATGGTATGTCTGGTGGAAGTAGGAGTCTGTATCTAGTCCCTTTTTTGGCACTATAAAAGGATGCATTCTGGGCATTCCTTTGTAACCTGTTTTTTAAAACTTAATACTATGTAGTCAACCTTTTCTGTTAACTGTGAATTATTGTATTATTGCATGATTTGTGACATTTAGCATATTTTTAATTATTATAATTACATAGGGCATACTATGGAAATATTAATTTTTTTGGAGGGCCTTCTAATACATCTGTGAAGACTTCTACAAAGCTGAAACAACTGGAAGATGAGAACAAAGATGCCATGTTTGTATTTATATCTGATGTTTGGTTGGACCAAATGGAAGTATTGGAAAAACTTCACACAATGTTTTCTGGTAGGGGGTTATTTTTTTCTACTCTTTTTTGAACTGCTATGAGAGTTCATGTATTAAAACTAAATTCTTGCCAAGTTCTAGCTACCCAAGAGGCTGGGGTAGGAAGATTGCTTGAGACTATCAGTTCGAGAACACCCTAGGCAACATACTGAGATCTGGTCTCAAAAAGCAGTAAAATAAAAACAAAATGATAAATTCTTTTTAAAAACGTACATTTTTGAGTACTCTGTTTAAAGAAAAAAAAACCTGTATCAGGAATGAGATATTTTAAATAAAATTTTATTTTAAAGATTTATATTTTTACGTTTGAAAAATAACTATATGCCAGGCATGTGCATGACTGTAATCCCAGCTACTTGGGAGACTCAGGCCAAAGGATTGCAAATTTGAAGCCAGCCTTGGCAATTTAGCCAGACCCTATCTTAAAATAAAAAGAGACAGGGATATAGTTCAGTGGTGGAGTGCCCTTGTGTTTGATTAAAAAAAAAAAAAAGGAATGAAAATAAAGTTATATGTGTGCATGTTCATAATAAATTAGAATTAGTCATAAGTATAGTATAACTAAAGAAAATGGATAAAATCTAGGGCTTTGAAATCTAACAGAACTGAGTTTAAATGCCAGCCTCATACCTTGGGCAGATTATATAATCTCTTCATAAGTCTAGTTTGGAGGAAATTTCTGAGGATTAAATAAGCCATAGCAGGGCTGGCACATACTGAGTTCTCAGTAAATTGTTATTATTATTATTATTGTTTGAATAAAATAAGGTATTATTAAGATAGATTTTTCTTAATTAAAAACTTATAGTAAGGGGGCTGGGTGTATAGCTCAGTGATAAAGCACATATCTAGCACATGTGAGGCCTTGGGTATGTTCCCCAACATTGTTAAAAAAAAAAAAAAAGGAGTCTTGAAAAGCCAGGTGCAGTGGCATGCCTGTAGGCCCAGCTACTTGGGAGGATAAGGCAGGAGAATTGCTTGCCCATGAGCTGAAAGGTTTTAAATTTGATTTCCAGAGTAGAAAATGATGTTCTTTTATTCCCCAGGCTATTCACCAGCACCCCCAACCTGCTTTATTTTGTGTGGTAACTTTTCATCAGCACCATATGGAAAAAATCAAGTTCAAGCTTTGAAAGGTATTGATTATTAATAAGTGTTTATATATAGTATAAACTAAATTGATGAAAAAATTATCCATATTTTAATTTCACTCAAAAGATGTAGGGTTATATTTAATCAAATATAATTTGAGGTGGTTATAGCGGTGCATGCCTATTCCAGTGACTTGGGAAGCTGAGGCAGGAGATTGATAAGACCAACCTCAGCAATTTAGCGAGACCCTAAGGACTTAGCGAGACCCTGTCTTAAAATAAAACATACAAAAAGGGCTGAGGAATGTGGTTCAGTGGTTAAGTGACTCTTGGTTCAATGTGGGCACACACCCCCCAAATATATATGTAATACATATAATTTGATTTTTATTTGTATTATATATAACTTAAATTTAATATCCTTTTAAATTTTTAGATTCTCTAAAAACTTTGGCAGACATAATATGTGAATACCCAAATATTCACCAAAGGTAATGATTTCTACTGCTGTATTTTTTATTGAAATAATTTTATTTAAAAAAAAAAAAAGAGTCTTAAGGTTTATACCAGTAATTATTAAGAAACCAAGAAAAAGTTGAGGAAATTGAAAGAATTAAGAGATAAAATTATCCTTACATCATAATATGTTATACTTCTATAGATTCATAGTGAAAAGTATTGAAAAGGAGAATTATAATTTCAGTCACATTTTTTGATGACATTACTGGTCCAGAATTCTGCGTTTCAATATGATAATCACTGGTCACATGTGTCTCTTTAAATATGAAGTTAAATTAAAGTTGAATAAGATCTGAAATTCATTCTACCAGCCATACTATCTACAGTGCCAGCACTCTATAATTGGACAGTTTAAATACAGGACATTCTATCATCGCGCTACTAGACAGTGTTGGGCTAGAGACATTTAGCAGTTTATTACAATGCATAAAATTTTAAAGATTAAAAACCCCAGGAGTGAATTAAAGGCAGTGACTGTTTTTAGACTGCTGGATGGTGATGCCATATTATTATGCTTTAAAATGAATTATGTTGAATTTCACTGCAGTAGTCGTTTTGTGTTTGTACCTGGTCCGGAGGATCCTGGGTTTGGTTCCATCTTACCCAGGTAACTTTTATTTATATTTTTACAACAGTCAAGAAAATTCTGCAAAACTTAAAAATATATACTTTATCAGATCAATTGTTTTTTTGTAGGCCACCACTTGCTGAAAGCATCACTAATGAATTTAGACAAAGGGTACCATTTTCAGTTTTTACTACAAATCCTTGCAGGTAAATAATAGTTATTACTCTTATACATTTTTCCTTTCATTAGAAATTAACTTCTGGGGGCTGGGGTTGTGGCTCAGTAGTAGAGCACTCTCCCAGTACTTGTGAGGCCCTGGATTCGATCCTCAGCACCACATATAAATAAATAAATAAATAAAAGGTATTGTGTCAACTACAACTAAAAATATATACATTTTTTAAAAAATTAGTTTCCGGTGCAGCTGGGGATAAAGCTCAGTTGGAGTGCTAGCCTCGGATGCACAAGAGCTTGGGTTCAATCCCTAGCACCACCAAAAAAAAAAAAAAATCTTCAAATTTGTTTACGTATTTTGACTGTTAAGGAACAATATGAAAAGAAATTTTGCTTTTATTTTGGATTACTCAAAACATTGAAAACATTTTAAGTACATTTAAAAAATTTTCCAATAGTAAATTTAGGAACTTAAATAATAGATGGATTTTTAAAAATAGATAAATATCATTTCTGTATTGCCAACTCTCATATTTTGTCTCTAGCTCACATCTTTCTCCCAGACTCATGGATCCAGTTTCCTACTTATTCTCTCTCCTTGGTTATCCAGGAGACAAGTGAACTCTGATCTTCCTCCCTGCCACCACCCCCTTATCTCTTCTGCAGCCTTCCCCTGTCCTCGTTGATGGCACACTTAACCTTCTAGTTGTTCAGGCCAAATCACACAGTTTTCAGCTAGTCCTGTAAACTTCAAAATACATCCAGAATTTTATCACCTCTCTATCCCTCCTGTATGACTCTCTACTAATCTTCTCTAGCCTGGAATACTATAATTGCCTCTTAATTGGTCTCTGGTTTCTACCATTTCCACTCTATGGTCTATTCTTTTTTTTTTTTTTTTTTAGTTGCTCAAGACAATACAATGATCTTGACATATCATACATTTGATTCCAATAGGGTATGAATTCTCATTTTTCCACGTGTATACATTGCAGGATCACATTGGTTATACATCCATGGGTATACATACAGCAATCCTAGTTATCAGTTGTATTCTGCTGCCCTCCCTATCCCGCCCCTCCCTCCCTCCCATCACCTCTCTCTACCCATTCTACTGTGACACTTATCTCTCTCTTTTTTTTCTTCCCTTCCCCCTGACACCATCGTATATATATTTTGTGAAACCATGAGGGTCTCCTTCCATCTTCCGTGAAATTCCCCTTCTCCCTCCCATTCCCTCCCACCTCTTTTCCTTGTTTCGTGGTAATCTTCTTCTCATGCTCTTCCTCCCTACTCTGTTTTGAGTCACCTCTCTTATATAGAGAAGACATCTGGCATTTGTTTTTTATGGATTGGCTAACTTCGCTTAGCATAATCTGCTCTAATGCCATTCATTTCCCTGCAAATGCCATGATTTTGTTATTTTTTTGTGCTGAGTAATATTCCATCTATTCTTAACACTATCTCAAAGTGAGTAAGGCATATCATGTCCACCTTCCTGATCATGACAAATGGGGCCCCTCATATATCCTTACAGTGGTAATCAAGGTCCTACAGGCATAATCTGACTCCCTATTATTTCTCTGACTTTCTCTTTCCCCTTTTACTCCCTTCATACCAGTCTTACTCTATTCTTCAAGCATGCCAGGCATGCTCCAATCTTAGGGTCTGTGCTGTACCCCCATTTCCATTTTTCTTTTTTATTTTAATTTTTTTTGTAGTTGTAGATGGACAGAATGTCTTTATTTTATTTGTTTATTTTTATGTGGTGCTGAGGATCAAACCCATTGCCTCATGCATGCTAGGCAAGCACTCTGCCACTGAGCTACAGCCCCAGCCCGTATTCCCCCTTTCTTTTTTTATCATATATTTTTTTCTGAGGAACTCAAATTCAACTTGTTCTCATTCTTAAATGTTTTTATTATTGCATTATACATACTATTGGGAATCATTTTGATATTCATAAATGTATATGACATATTTTGTTCCATTTCAATTTATTTTCTTAGAATTCAGTATTGTACACAAGAAATTATCATCTTTCGTGAAGATTTAGTGAATAAAATGTGTAGAAACTGTGTCCGTTTTCCTAGTAGCAATTTGGATATTCCTAATCATGTAAGTAAAGAGTACTTTTCTTTATTAAACTATTTTATGTTATATTATACAAAATGTTGGTAAGCCACTTAATAATTTGCCTTTATATGTTGAAGTTTACTTGTGGTTCAAAATAATTTGAATATACTTTTGTCAGTAAGTTAATTTTTGTTAGTCATTATTTCTCAGCTTTCTACTGAATAATTCCCTAATGGGTCCGAGGAGAGCCCAGAATAAGCAGATTTCTTTGAAGCTTTCTGCGTTGCCTTTAAAATTATTAAATTGTGCTACAAAATATATGTACATATTTATCATACTTATTACATATTTCCTATGGTGTGTGCACATCAGAAGGATGAGTAATTTTTAGTCTTGTAGCTTCCAGGTTCCCTGACATGGAGTTGTCAAGGGTTACATGGTTACATGTACCCTCATTTGAGAAGTATGGCAGTAGATTCTACTGAACAGTTTTAAATTTTATTTTATAATATTTAATGTTATGCAAGCTAAATACTGGATCTTGGCTTTATTCAAGCTATGAGATATTTTTGGGTGAAAGAATTAGTAAGTTTATTATATGGTTATAAGTACACATAAGTGAATAGAATGTGTAGAAACTGTGTCCGTTTTCCTAGTAGCAATTTGGATTAAAATAATCCAGTGTGACTATTTGTGAGAATTGCCATTATGGTATGTGATATCAGATGAAAACTTATATATTTTCCTAAGATTCAGAATAATTACTTAAGATTTTATGTTAGTATTTCCCTAAGTTCTTCCTAATTATTTCTCAAATTTTCTAGGTCCTTTTGATAATTAGTATTTAATTTATAATTATTTGTGTAGCTATTTTCAGTTTTACAAATGAAATGAATGTTATGTTCTGTTGTAGTTTATAAAGACTATCCTGTCTCAAGGACATCTGACTCCTCTACCTCTTTACATCTGCCCAGTGTATTGGGCATATGATTATACTTTAAGAGTGTATCCTGTGCCCGATCTACTTGTCATTGCAGACAAATACGATCCTTTCACCGTGACCAATACTGAATGCCTCTGCATTAACCCTGTAAGCATGGAGTTAACATTATATAGTCATTATTTATCAAGATTAGAGCACATTTCTATAAATTTAGTATATTTAATTATTATTGGAGTAAAAATATACTATTAATGAAGCATTGAATTAATTTGATATACACAAAGTTCTTAAACTTTCAGTACAGGATGTGAGTATAAAGTGATGATATTTAAAAAAATATCATACCCAAACGTAAGTCCAAATGAATATTTTTGCCTTCAAAGTAACTTACTTCTTTTCTGGGAATTGTTTTTAGAACCTGTATCTTTTTTTTTTTAATATCTTTATTTTATTTATTTATTTTTATGTGGTGCTGAGGATCGAATCCAGGGCCTCACACATGCTAGGCGAGCGCTCTACCACTGAGCCACAACCCCAGCCCTAGAGCCTGTATCTTATTCCCTTTAGCCATATTATATTAATGGTTCTTTTTTTTGGTACCGGGGATTGAACCCAGGGGCACTTAACCACTGAGCCACATCCCAGCCTTTATTATTTTTTTTTTGGTAATTTTAAAATTTTTTTTTAGTTGCAGTTGGACACAATACGTTTATTTTATTTATTTATTTTTATTTGGTGCTGAGGATAGAACTCAGTACCTCGCATGCACTAGGTGAGCGCTCTACTGTTGAGCCACAACCCCAGCACCCCTAGCCTTTTTTTGTATTTTATTGAGGCAGGGTCTCACTTAGTTGCCAAAAGCCTCGCTAAGTTGTGAGGCTGGCTTTGAATTCATAATCTTCCTATCTCAGCCTCCCAAGCCGCTGGAATTACAGAATATTAATGGTTCTTGTCCTTTGAGGAGAATTGTGACTTTGGGGAAATTGTCCAAGTGTCAAAAGCCCAAGCCTGATGAATGAAATTTAATTGAGATACATTCTGTTTAATTTTTATGTAGAACTTTTCAAATTAGTTCACAATGTTGAAGTTGTTTGTTAAGCAAATAATTATCTTCATTAGTGATTTTTCAGTCTGCATGCTTCCTTGATTCTTATGACTTTTAGATTTTAATACTTTTGTTTAATAATCAATTCTAGAAATATTTTGCCTTACTATTGGATACTACTTTCGTCAGATACACATTTTTATTTACAACAAAAAAGGCACACATTTTATATAGTTTTCTCCATGAGAGAGCTTCTAAATTTGGCACTTTTGATGTGTTGGACCAAATAATGCTTTGTCATGAGGGCTGTTCTGTGCATTGTAGGATGTTTAGCAGCATCTTTACCTCTAGCCACTAGATGCCAGTAGCATCCCCCACTTGTGACAATCATAAATGTCTCTAGACATTTTCCAAAATGTTTCCTGAGGTTCAGAATCATCCCTGGTTGAAAATTGCTGTTCTAAGGATGAACACAGTTAACTAATTTGGCAGCCTTGCTTAAAATTTGTAGCCTAATTTTTGTATAATTTTATTCACAGATATCTTTCATAACAAGGCTATTTCCTTATTTAAAGTTAACTTTTCCAGTGGCTGGAGGGGCTAAGGAAGGAGGATTGCAGGTTCAAAGCTAGCCTTAGCAGCAAGGTCCTAAGCAATTTAACAATATGCTGTCTCAAAATAAAATAAAAAGAAAAAAAAAATAGGCTGAGAATATGGCTCAGTGGTTGAGCCCCTCTGGGTTCAATTCCTGGTACCAAAAAAAAAAAGGCAGGGAGGTGAATGGTGAATTCTTATAGTTAATGTACCTTGTATCTGTGAGTGAGTGTATGACTACCTCCTACACCATCATCACAACTTGCTTTTGACACTGATTCATCTCCTCTTGATACTTATTCACATTAATGAATCCTTGCCGTGGGCCACACATTGATTTAGGGGTGGGGATACAGACACTGAAAAGGCAGAGCCGCTGCTGAGTAACCTTAAGAGTTTCATAGTAGGGAGTTATATTTGTGATTGCTACTCAGTTGCCTTGGGGGCACACCAGATTTTCATTGTGGAGAGAGGCAGGGAAGACTTCTTGAATATATGTGTCCCAGGTGCATATTTAACATCACACAGTATCATTTATTTCTTAAACCAAGTAGTCACTCCTAAGCACTCCCAGTCTTGTTTTAGCATAAGACTGCCTAGTCAACTTGAAGACTTGCTTTAAGTAGAGATATAGTAACAACCTTCTCTCCACAAAGATGCTAAAATCTGTCTCATTGTTTTGTAATCACATCTTGTAACTTTCATGAAAAAGAATTTGCTTAAAAAAATAGGGATTATTTTATAAAATTTGATTAGTTACTTACAGGCATTTTTCTCCCCCTAAGGGCTCTTTTCCAAGAAGTGGATTTTCATTCAAAGTTTTTTACCCTTCCAACAAAACAGTAGAAGACAGGTAAGTGTACTCAAAAAAAAAAAAAAAAAAAACCCACACACACCAAGGGGCTTTCTCTGTTATATTGCTAGCAACCACATATTCTATAAGTGTGCTGAGATTTTTAAGTGCTGACAGTTGGCCCATTGGAAATGTTCTAGGCTGAACTTACTGTGGTCATGCTGGTGGCATCGAAGTCAGTGTACCTGGGTAGGATGTTTGTATTGAGATAGATCAAGAACTGTTTGCTAAGTGCAACCTTAAGCCAACTGTGGAGGTGAGCTAGTTCTTGTAGGCCAACTTCTAAGGAAGCATCCTTCTTGTAGAGGTCAGCCCTGACCTCTGCATGGTTGATTCTTAAAGCCTTATCAGCTTAAATTGAAAGCAAATAAATAGTGAGGAGCTGGGTGTGAGTGTTGTGATGGTGAGGGCTGAAGTTGAAAGAAGGTCTTGGGAAAGAAGAAAGAATAATCATCATCTGGTGAGTAGTGATTTAATCACCCGTATCAGAATCATCTTGGGTCCTTGTTTTGAAAATGTTAAATTCTAGCCAGCTGCAGTGGCACATGCATGTCATCCCAGCTACTTGGGAGGCTGAGGCAGGAGGATCACAAGTTCAAGGCCAACCCAGCCTCAGCAATTTAGAGAGACTCTGTTCCCAAATAAAAATTAAGGACTGGGGGTAGCTCAGTAGTAGAGTGCCCTGAATTCGGTGGTGGTGGTGGTGGTGGGGGGGGGGGGGGCGGGTAGTTGAAAAATCTTTCTCCAAACTTATCAAATGGCTCTCTAGTTATAGGTCCTAAGAATATGCATTTCTAACAGTTTCTCTTGGATTCAGGCATCCTAATGTGTGATTTCTCAGGTAACTATTTTGGTAAAGCAAATCACATATACATCTTCTGTTTAAGAACAAGTGACTAAATTGTCCTCTAGGTTCTTTTCACAAAGTATAACCTTGAACATACAGCCCAACTGTGGCCTTTTTTTTTTTTTTTGTAATTAACAAATTATTAAAATAAAAATGAATACAATACCTTTATTTTATTTGTTTATTTTTATGTGGTGCTGAGGATCGAACCCAGGGCCTTGCACGTGCAAGATGAGCGCTCTACCGCTGAGCACAACCCCAGCCCTTTATGTAGATCTTAAAAATAATTTAGCAGGGCTGGGGGTTGTGACTCAGCAGTAGAGTGCTTGCCTAGCATGTGCGATGGTGCTGGGTTTGAGCCTCAGCACCACATAATAAAATTTTAAAAATAATAATAATTTATGCATATATTCTTACTGCTTAGTATTCATGAAGGATATTCATTCTATGAAATATTCTCAATTTTGTTCTTGGATTCACCTATTTGACATGTTTGGTTTTTACTATATTCCTGATAGTGCTTAGTTCTTGGAATATAGGCAGACAAATTCTCAAAAGAGCACAGATATTCTAGCCTCTAATTCCATAAGTCTAGTATGTGTTTGACTTTACCTAGCCCACATTGTATATGGAAAAAAAGTGATGAAATGCCTTTAGGATAAGGACATGTGCTCTTTTCCAGTTCTTGTCTATCTATATCTGGCTACCACTGAGGGCATCTGACTTCCTCACATCAAGATTAAGTCATCACAGAGGGCTGTCAGTCTGGAGCATATAGTCTGTATTTGTGTGTGTGTGTTTCCGGGAATTGAACCCAGATCTTTGTGCATGCAAGGGAATCACTAAACAACTGAGCTACATCCCCAGCCCGCATATTGTCTTACAACAGTTTTTTAGATTGACTTTCACTAAAACTGAGATTTGGTATAAAAATTTTACATGTAAAAAATTTAGTCTGTTATGAAAACCAATACTGGGATCTCAACAGCTCTCAAGACAAATCTGTCTGTCCCAAGCACAATTTTTATTTTAGAAAGACTTTCTTCCTTTGTTTTAACTGTTAGAGAAGCACTAGCCAAATATGCAGCCCATCTCTTTATTTGTAGACAAGTCAGCCCTGGCTTCATATCTTCTTTATATTTTCCCTTTACCTGAAATTCCTCAATTGCTTACTTTTATCTTTATGTCTATCTCTGCAAATCATTTTATATATTTCTTAAAAATGAATTGGGATATAAACAATTACAGCTGGAAATTGATTTATTATGATAGCATAAGACGTTTCAGCTACATTTAATTGCCATGAAGAATTGTTTTCTATTTGGTTATTAATACTTTTAAGTACCTGTCATTATTTATTTATTAATTTTTAATTGCCGGGGCTGGGGATGTGGCTCAAGCGGTAGCGTGCTCGCCTGGCATGCATCCTGCCCGGGGTTCAATCCTCAGCACCACATACAAACAAAGATGTGGTGTCCGTCGAAAACTAACAAATAAATATTAAAAAAAAAAATTTTTTTTTAATTGCCTTTTAAAAAATAAATGACAGTGGAATGCATTACAATTCTTATTATACATATATAGCACAGTTTTTCATATCTGGTTGTATAAAGTATATTGACACCAATTCGTGTCTTCATACATGTACTTTGGATAATGATGTCCATTGCATTCCACCATCCTTGCTAACCCCCTGCCCACCTCCCTTCCCCCCCACCTCTCTGCCCTATCTAGAGTTCATCTATTCCTCCCATGCTCCCCCTCCCTACCCCACTATGAATCAGCCTCCTTATATTAGAGAAAATATTTTTCGGCTTTTTTTTTTTTTTTTTTGGTTTGGCTAACTAACTTCTCAGTGCCATCCATTTACCTGCAAATGCCATGATTTTGTTCTCATTGATTTTTTTTTATTAGAGAGAAAGAGAGAATTTTTAACATTTTTATTTTTTGGCGGGCACAACATCATTGTTTTGTATGTGGTGCTGAGGATCGAACCCGGGCCTCACGCATGCCAGGCGAGCGCACTACCGCTTGAGCCACATCCCCAGCCCCATGATTTTATTCTCTTTTACTGCTGAGTAAAATTCCATTGTGTATATATGCCACATTTTTTTTTTTATCCATTCATCTACTGAAGGGCATCTAGGTTGGTTCCACAGTTTAGCTATTATGAATTGTGCTGCTGTCAACATTGATGTGGCTGTGTCCCTTTAGTATGCTGTTTTTAAGTCCTTTGGGTATAGACTGAGGAGTGGAATAGCTGGGTCAAATGGTCGTTCCATTCCAAGTTTTCCAAGGAATCTCCACACTGCTTAGGTACAGTCATTCTTTTTTTTTTTTTTTTTTTTTTTTTTAGTTGTAGTTGGACACAATATCTTTATTTTGTTTATGTGGTGCTGAGGATTGAACCCATGACCTTGCACATGCTAGGCGAGCGCTCTACTGCTGAGCCACATCCCCAGCCCGGTAGTCATTCTTAAGTTTCTAGTAAAAGCTGGGCACTGAAGTGCACATCTGTAACCGAAGTGATTTGGGAGACTGAGGCAGGAGGATCTCAAGTTCAGAGCCAGACAGGGCAACTTAGTGAGACCCTGTCTTAAAATTAAAAAATGTTTTTAAAAAAAATTTATTAAATTTTTAAAAAATTTAAAAAGAGAAAGGGCTAGGGATATAGTCGGTGTCAGTGTTTGCCTAGTTAGTACAAATCCCAGTGGGGGGAGAGGGTGGGGATTTCTAGCATAATACTTGATTTATTTGTTGTTGAAACAGTTGGTTCCTGTATCTTGTCTGGCTTCGGATAATGAAAAGCCTTCACATAAAATTTCCAAACTATAATTTGGTATTGGTAACTTGAAAACTCTTTTGAGTGCTGCATCAAACAAATTGATGTACATTAATTTTTTTAGAGAACTGGAAAAAAAATATCAAGACAGACTGAAATTCTCTGGTCTGTCTGCTTAGTTTCTCCTAAGAAGAGGCCATTTGTTGGAATATTTGTGAAATCACATTGTGGAGTTAATCACAGAATGTAGGCAAAGTAGATAAGGTTAGCTCTGTTTCACCAGTATTGGTGATATAGTGGGGAAATGCACATTCTTACACAGTTGGTCTGAATGAAAACATTTATCAAAATGTGTACTTACTCAGAATTTATTTAAATTTCAAAACCATAGAGGAATTACAGATGTGTATACCAACTGAAAAAGGCCTAGAAGGGCTGGGGTTATAGCTCAGTTGGTAGAGTGCTTGCCTTACATGTACAAGGTCCTGGGTTTGATCTCCAACACCACAAAAAAAAAGAAAAAGGCCTAGAATAGTATACATTATTATATGTATCACTATGCAGTTATGTACCACTATGTACATATTTTAAAGCACAAACCCATACATACATGCCTGTAATACATGCCTAGTAATAACTAGACTTTATTTTCCTTTTTATTAGAATACCTTTATAAGGTATACATTTCCTTTTTTTTTTGGTACTGGGGATTGAACTCAGGGGCACTTGACCACTGAGCTACATTCCCAGCCCTATTTTGTATTTTATTTAGAGTCAGGGTCTCACTGAGTTGCTTAGTGCCTTGCTTTTGCTTAGGCTGGCTTTGAACTTGTTATCCTCCTGCCCTAGCCTCTCCAGCTGCTGGGATTACTGGCATGCACCATCACACCCAGCTGTACATTTGCTTCTGAGGAACAGAGATAGGGTTTAAAACAGAAAATTTTTTAGTGTTGCCTTCTGAATTTGGAACAATGTTGATCTATTTTGAAAACTAATTAGCTATAACTAAAAATTAAGAAATGTACAAGAACAGATTTCTAAAATGTTTAATTTCATTTTTTTTTTCTATTTTCAGCAAACTTCAAGGCTTTTGAGAGTTTTAAAGACCATATAAAAAAAAAAAAGCATCAGTTTTCTGCTTGGTTTTATGTCTTAAGTGATTTTGATATTATTAAATTATGGTAAACTTTAAAAATATTCTTGAATATGTATTTTATGAAATTTTGATATTGTTATACCAAATACAGTGGTACATTTGAAAATTTTTATAGGAAAAACACTTCCAGCATTCTTTAAAAAAAAAAAAGGCTGATTTAAGAGGCCCTGGGTTTGATCCCCTGCACTGCAAAACAACAAAATGTAGATATGTATAAAGATATATTCTAGCTGGTTGAGCTGGTGCATACCTGTAATCCCAGCAACTTGAGAGCTAGAGGCAAGTTCAAAGCCAGGAACTCAAATTTAAAGCCAGCCCCAGCAACTTAGGGAGGCCCTAAGCAATTAGCCAGAAGACCCTGTCTCAAAAAAAAGGGCAGGTGAGGATGTGGTTCCATGGTAAAGCACCCCTGGGTTCAATCCCCGGTACAAAGAAAAAAAGGCCCTTCTAATGAAGCATGCATTTAAAAACTAAAACTAACGTTAGCTTATCAGTGGAATAAAGGCACTTTTAATTTACCAAAACAAAAAACCCCTAAAGTTAATTTTGGTATTAGTCACTATTTTTTTTTCCCCACTCTTCTGTTATTACCTTGATACCAGTGAGCATACCCAAGAATTACTTGTTAGTGTATTTTAAATCACCTTTGGAACATCAAAATTTTGGACAAGTCTGACCTTAGTAAAGGTATTTTCAAACATAAATACAACATACTATTTAAATGCATCAAATTACAAACTGGTTGTTGGATATAACAGCCTTGAGTTTCTGACTCCTTCAAAGTTTTATGTGAAATTATGTGTGGGGACAGGCTTGTGTGTATGTGTTGGGCCCATAATTCTCATTGGAGTCTCATCTCGCTGGCCCTCTTCCTTGTCAAATTTCTCAATGTGGTAAGTTTTTTTTCTGTGCATTTTTTTTTTCCCTGCAGAGATATTTTGGGAATCACTCTCTATATAATAAACTTACTTTTTTCTTCACTGTGCTGTATTTATTCATTAAATGAGTACCTAACATGTTCTAGGTCCTAGAGAATCCAGTGGAATACCGGAAAGACAAAGTCCTAGATTTCATCTTGCTTACCTTCAAATAAATACAGCCAGACCCTAGAAGAAAACACCAACTACAAAACCATGGTGAAGATTAAAAAAATGTGGGCAACTGTAACTGAATGGCAGTTACAGGATGAGGTTAAAGAAGAATCAAGGATTACTTAGGTTTTGGTGTTAAATAGCTAGGATAATATTAGTTGCTGAGACTGGGAGAATAACAGGTTTGAGAGGAGAAAATCAAGTTTTGTTCTGATCATGTTAATTTGAGATGCCTACTGAACATCCAGGTAGAAAAATCTCTTAGGGATCAGTGGTCAGATAGCACTGAAGATGTGTTGGTGTCACTGAAGTTCCATGAGGGCAAATATTTTTGTTTTTATAAACAATTTGTTAAACTTTAAAATTAATATATGAGATACACAAAGTCCCCTATTATCACTGGACACCTCAATGAGTTTTAACAAACTGCATAGCCAATTTAACAATATAACAAGATTGAAACAGTCCTACCCCAGAAGTTCCCCCTTTTCCCTTCTTGTGACAACACTCCATCCCCCTCAAAAGGGAACTCACTAGATCTTTTTAAAATTTTTTCTGTTAATGTTATTGATTGACATAGTTATGTAGCCTGACTTCTAACAATGAGATTTGTTTAGGCAAATTTTGTCTATTAGATAATGGAGTCAAGCCATCTGTATTATTTTACATTGTTTCAATATATTATGTTAGTGATACTCATCCAAGAGTACTAGTTGCTTGACATCCTTGTTTTTTTGTGCCAGTGCTAGAACAGTGACTTACTTTCCTATGTAGTAGGTGCAATAACTACATAAATAACCTGTTCAAAGGACTAATCTGAACGTAGATGCCATTTAAAACCATGAGCCTCAATAAGATCATCTTGGAAGATATGTGACTAGATACGAGGACTGATAAACAAGCACATTTAGAGAACTGGCAGAAGAGGGACAAGTGAAGGAAAATAGAGAGCTTGGAGTTCTATACACCAAGAGAAAAATGTGTTCCAAATGGGAATAGTAAGCTGCTTTGAATGCTGCTGAGAGATCAAGGCCTAGGTTTGGGAAAGGAAAGGAGTTAGGAATTCTATTTTTGGTCATTTCAAACCTGAGAGACCTAAGGATTACTTGTTCAAATGGAGAACTCAAATTTGAGCAGCTGGATAAAAGGAGTCTATAGAGTTAGAACCGGAAATATAAGTTTGGTATTTGTAAGCATACATATATTTGTGGAGCAAGTATAGGTGGAGAAAAAATAGGGTCCCAGCCTTGGGGCATCTCTACTTAGAAACTGAACAGAATAAACTTGCAAAACAGACTATGAAAGCATATAAGGTAGGAGAAAAATCTAGAAAGGGTCTTATCACTGGGGTAATGCCAACATCTGTTGTGTTAAATGTTGCTGAGAATAGAAAAATGATAGGCCAGCTACCAATGAATAAATAACCACCCGTCAATAAATATACTTTGAGGCTGGAAGTGTAGTTCAGTGGTAAATCTTATGCTATAGGGATGAGACCCTTGGTTCAATCTCCAGCACCTAGGGGGGAGGAGGGATTTCTACAAGATACTTTACAATGGCCACATAAACTTCCCTTGTATGTCTCTGCCAAAATCTGTTTCATCAGTTCTTTGTTGAACTATTAGATTCTTCCCAAACTTTTAGAATCATACTATTTTAATAAGTATTGGGTCAATTATTCCATGGGTATATGGGCTAAAAAAAAAAAAAATGCACACTTAAAATTCTACTCCCACCCTGAGAAGAACAATAATCATGAAAGCTTTGCCATTTTGATAGGTGACACGTGGCATCTTACATTTTGCGTTATTTTAAAAATTTTTTTTAGTTGTAACGGGTCGCGATGACACTCACGCCTGTAATCCAAGCGGCTTGGAAGGCTGAGGCAGGAGGATCAAGAGTTCAAGCCAGCCCTAGCAATTCAGCATGACCCTGTCTCAAAGAACAAATAACAAAGGGCTAGGGCTGGGGATGTGACTCAGTGATCAAGTGCCCTTGAGTTCAGTTCCTGTTACCAAAAAAAAAAAAATTTTTAGTTGTAGATGGGCATAATATCTTTATTTTATTTACTTTTAAATAAAAGTGGATGAGAACCTAGTGTCTCACACATACTAGGCAAGTGCTCTACCACTGAGCTACAGCTTTACATTTTACATTCATTGGCATATTTGTTTATGAATACTCTGCCCTTATCTTTTGCTCCAAATGAGCTTTTACTGGGTAAACTGTATGGCAGATTATCCAGAAGATAAAAAGGAGGAAAATTAAGATTGAAATGTTTTAGTAAAGTGAAAAAACACATGTAAGTCAGGTTAAAAATCACAGCTTGTGAACACACTGGCTGAGCAACCTTGATCAGGTAACTTCTCAGGTCTCTCGTTTGTGAAAATTTTAACTTAAAAGTCAACAATGAATGGGATCTTGTACACAATACTGGCAATTATGACAATTTTACGATAGACAGCAGAAGTAAATGCATCATGGCACAAGCATCTAAAAAACGGCAAGTAATTTCTTGGTTTGAAGAAATAATGAGGCCGTTTCTGGCACCTCCAGCTGATTGCTGCTGCTCCTTCCGGGTGTCAGTGGGGATTACTGTGGCAACCAGCACGCGCTGCTCAAGGCTCAATCCTGCGGCCGTTACCGACCTCAGCCCTTTTGCTCTCCGCGTACTAGAAACTCTGCGGGGCACCCTGCCCAACCAGTCTTGGACTGATCACCCCTGGGGTGAGGGCGAGGAGCTGCGGGGCAGCATGGCGAAAGCGGCAGCCTCCTCGGCGCTGGAGGATTTGGACCTGAGCGGAGAGGAGGTCCAGCGGCTCACCTCCGCCTTCCAGGATCCGGAGTTCCGGCGAATGTTCTCCGCGTACGCCGAGGAGCTCAATGACCCAGAGAACCGGAGGCGCTACGAGGAAGAGATCACCGCACTGGAGCGTGAGCGCGGAGTGGAGGTGCGGTTCGTGCACCCGGAGCCAGGCCACGTGCTGCGTACCAGCCTGGACGGGGCTCTGCGCTGCTTCGTGAATGTATGCAGCAACGAGCTGGTGGGCGCGCCCAGCAGCCGGCCAGGCCCGGAGGACGGCGGTGGCGCGGCGATGGGTAGCCACTGGTCCCTGCCGTACAGCTTGGCGCCTGGCCGAGAGTACGCGGGGCGCAGCGGCACCCGCTACAAGGTTTACGATGTGGTGTTCCACCCAGAAACGCTGGCGCTGGCCCGGCGCAACAAGCGCTTCTGTCAGATGCTGGACGCCACGGCCCTGGAGGCAGTCGAGAAGCAGTTCGGCGTCAAGCTGGACCGCCGGAACGCCAAGACCCTGAAGACTAAATATAAGGGGACCCCAGAGGCTGCCGTGCTGCGCACGCCCCTTCCGGGGAGCGCCCGGGCCCCACCCAACAGGAAGGAGGATCCTCTCTCAGATTTTCCCTATCCCTACCGGTACCCAGCGACAGCCCAGAACTCCGTCGGCCCGGGGCCCCAGGTTCCCAAACCTGCGCTGGAGACTCAGCAGCCCGCCCCCACAGAGCCCCGCTGCAGCGTGGTGCAGCGCCACCACGTGGACCTTCAGGATTACCGGTGCTCCCGGGACTCGGCCCCGAGCTCGGTGCCGCACGAGCTGGTGGTCACCATCGAGCTGCCGCTGCTGCGCTCGGCTGAACAGGCGGCGCTGGAAGTGACGGGAAAGCTGTTGTGTCTTGACTCGAGGAACCCCGACTACCGGCTGCGGTTCTCGCTCCCCTACCCGGTGGACGACAGCCGTGGCAAGGCGCAGTTCAACAAGGCCCGGCGGCAGCTGGTGGTCACGCTACCAGTGGCGCCAGTCGCGCGCCGCGGGCCCCCTGCGGCGCCGGAAGAGTCGGTGGGCCAGTCCGGAACTGATGGCGTGGCCTGCGCTTCCGCTAGTGTGGGGAAAGCGGGCCCCATGGGGGACCCCAGCCCGGATACCAACGGGATCCAGGTGGTAGACGCTGGGATCGCCACCCCGGGTGCCTATGAGGTGGCGTCTCTGTCAGCGCGCGCTGGGGAGGAGAGAGAACTCCAGCCGGAAGAGCGAGGTTTGGGTAGGCACTCGGTGTCGCCGCCAGGCCTAGAGGAGAAGTCGTCCCCAGGAGCTGGGAGCTCACCTGGGGATGGTGGCGCATGCTCCCCTAGTATTTCATCCCTGGCCCTTGACCAGGAGTCTCCTGTAGGAAGAGGGAGTGCGTGCGGAGATATCAGTGTAGAGACACACGAGGACCTGGAGGGCCCGGGTGGCGAGCCTTCTGACCCAGCAATGGGTGGCCCCGGCACCGAGAGCAGGGAACCTTTGTGTCCTCCTATGCAGTGTAATCAGGATGAAGAATCCTTGACTCTGCTAATTCAAGTGCCTCGGATTCAGCCTCGAAGTCTTCAGTGGAATCTGAACCCCCTTTGGTACAAACTGTGCTTCTCCACACAAAACTCGGTTTATTCCTTCTTCTTGCAGTTTGCTCCAGAAAATAAATTAAGTACCAAAGAACCCGAGATTAGCGTTTCTTCAAACAATGCAGTGATAGTACTGGCCAAATCTCCAGAGAGCCATGGACGTTGGCGAGAGTGGTACTATGGTTTGAACAAAGATTCTTTGGAGGTAACAGTTCTTTCTAGAGTCTTAATGTTTGAAATATTCCATCTCTCTTCTAAAATTTACTGTTACAGGCTCCCTCTCAATTTATCCTAAACAAAGCATTTTCTATAACTTTTCACGTTATGCTGGTACTTGTTAAACGTATTTTCAGGAAGGTTTACACGTATCCTCCCTGATGGATGGGTTTCAAATCCTCAAAGTTGTTGGTAATAAAGTTGTTTTCTTGGGCTCCATTGACTCCGAAAGAGACCGAACAGATTTTCAGTGATTCCTGGACCTCTAAAATTAAATACAAAAAGTTGAGAGTAATGTCTCTTGGAGAAAAGGACTAACTTTAGTCTCAAATGTTTGTGACCCAAATAAGTTTAAGAAGCACTCCAAAGTGGCAAGTAGGAAAATCACTTTTTCCAAGCTTAGAAAGTGAGTAATAATAAATTTGTTTCTGAGAAGAAAAGTAACTCGGCAAGTGCCACATAGTTCTTAGGTGAGAAAGCAAACTCAGATGTTGGATTAATCTAAATCCCAGACAATTTTCTCTATAGGGTGCTCTTAGTAATTTTAGTCACAGATTTTGGTGAGGTAGACCTCTCTGGTGGGTGCTATATTGTGTTCAGAGTTTCTCTTTGCGTTTCTTTTAATCATCTTTAGGACCCTATTAGTATTTGGCACAATGGCTGGCATTTAATGAAGTGTAAATAGTATTTGTTGAGCTGAATAGCACAGAACACTAGAACTGGACTGAGCATTATCTAGTTTATTGAGGATAAATTTTGATGAGTAACTATGTCCTGTTGTAGTTCTGCTATGCTTTTTAGGTTATTAAATTCTTGAATTTCACATTTAATACTCCACTGTTACGAAAAATATTAAAAAGAATACTTAAAATTCTAAAGATTCTTTAAACTCAAATGAGCAATTGGTGATTTTGATTAAGGTTTGTACCAAGAGTCAAGTTTTCAGAAACACTAATTGCACAGCTTGTATATTAAATATTAAGCTTTTGACCTTGGCCTTTAACCTGTCAGAAATTTTCACTTCTTCCTGCTGTTTTTCTATAAATCTGCTAATAAGTTAGCTCTGTATTTTATGAGTTGGATATCTGAGAAGTGGTTAACTTGAAGCCCTCCAAAAATGGTAAAATAAATAGTTGGGGAAGATATTTTGTAAGAATATAAAATATGAAATTCAGTATCTGTTTATGTCAGCAGAAGGGGGAAATTTAGGAAAGGGCAGTAGTTTTCCTGTAATTGTTTTAGCAAATAAAAATAACTCGATGTGGGAAGAAATTTATGGACAAGCAGTTAAGAGAATATTCAAGAATATGTTTTAATCTGATTTTCTAGCATGCTAACATTTTAGCAAGGAAACTAAATCAAAATGGAATTATTTCTTTGAAGCTTGAAATAGATTTATTATAATTACTTCCATTAGTCATCATATTTGTTATGATGCTGATGGGACCATGATGTCCAGTTCTTTTGCTTTGCTTGCTTACAGGACCAGGCTTTAAGTGTTAAAGTACATTAATTTTAAAAATTATGAGTAGTGAGCCATATATAAGGATATTATGTATAATAACCATAATTTAGAAACTTTTGTGCTTCAAGACCAGTATTGTTATTTTACACATATACAAATAACTAAATATGTTTCTTTAAATCTTAAATATTCACTGAGAATTTTCCTAGAACTTCAGGGCCAGTGAAATAATTATCTTTTTAATAAAGTCAATCATTAGAAGTCAAGCTTGTGTAGGTATTCTGCATTTTAATCATAACCAGTTCTATTATAAATATCTTCCTTGGGTTATCTAAAAATATTTGGTGCGTTTTTTGCAGTGAAGCAAAGACGAATCCCCTTTTCAGAAGCATGAACCCTAGAAGGTGCTGGAGATATAGGTCATTGGTAGAGTACTCGCCGACCATGTAGAAGGTCCTGGTTTGGATCCTTAATACCATAAAAAACAAAGTAAAAAAAAAAAAAAGAATGAACCTTCTGTAATCAGTATTATTCTGGATCTTCAAATTATAGCAAGGCAAATTACTCTCACTGTAAAATTTTCTTTCTTTTTTTTTGGTACTGGGGATTGAACTCAGGGGCACTTGACCACTGAGCCACATCCCCAGACCTGTTTTGTATTTTATTTAGAGACAGGGACTTACTGAGTTGCTTAGTGCCTCCCTTTTGCTGAGGCTGGCTTTGAACTTTTTGAGCCTCCTATCTCAGCCTCCTGAGCCACCGGGACTACAGGTAAGTGCGAATGTACCCAAACCCACTCAATGTAAAATTTTCTGTTTTCAAGGTTCACTTTTTTTTTCTTTTGGTACCACGGATTAAACCTAGAGGTGCTTAACCACTGAGCTACATCCCTAACCCTTTTAAATTTTTTATTTAGAGACAGGGTATTGTTAAATTGCTTAGGGCCTTGCTAAATTGCTGAGAATGGCTTTGAACTTTCAATCTTTATGCCTCAGCCTCCCACGCTGCTGGGATTACAGATGTGTGCCACTATGCCCAGTCCAAGGGTCACTTTTGTATAGTATGTGTTCACAGATTAAATATTGTTTAATATAACCTGGCACGATGGCATACTCCTCTTGTCCCATTGACTCTGAAGGCTGAAGTAGGCCTCAGCAACTTGGCAAGACACTGTCTCAAAATAAAAAACAAAAAGGGCTGGAGATGAAGCTCAGTGGTAAAGTGCCCCTGAGTTTAATTGCCAGTAAACACACACACACACACACACACACACGGTGTAATATAAAAAAAGAACTTAAAATGAACTGTGTTTATTTTGTAATTATAAAATTTGTTTATTAAAAAAAAGGTCAGGAAAATTAATTTTATTTGGGGCAGCAATGAACTGATTTTATGAGTTAAGTAATTTTAAGTATGGTTAATATGTTTATTCCTCCCACACCTTAACTATAACATTTAACATGAATATGAACAGATTGCAAAACTAAATTATAATTTGTAGTGGAGTTTGCACTTATAACTCTAGAAGTGAGGTTATTCTTAAGAAATATTAGGAGGAAAAAAGCATAATGTGTAAGTAGTATTATCTAGTAGAGAAATACACTTCAGATTTAATAAACCTAGAAAAACTACCAAGGCTTTATTTTCCCCCCTTTTCAGGTTTTTTAAAAAATAAATTATGCATACACTTTTGGTATAGTTTGTATTGTTTTGTACAGTAGTAAATTTTCTTTTTCAGTATAGCCCTTAGAAATAATGTTAAGATAAACATTTTCAAAAGTGTAACCCTGATATGTGTGAGAATTTTTGTGAGCTGTCTTCCTAAGTATAACTGTCCACTGTGACTTATAAGATGGAATATTTTTTTTCCTTTTTCCTTTAGGAAAAGTTGTTTATTAATGAAGAAAATGTTAATGAGTTTCTTGAAGAGGTCCTGTGCTCTGCATTCATACAGAAAATGCCCCTGTCCCCACCATTAATTGAAGTTCTTCAGGTTACTGATGAGAAGATTCAAATTCACGCAGAGGTAAGATTATAATGGGCTTTCTAAGAGAAGTGACTACTGGAAAGGTGGAAGCCTAATAACTTAAATTATTATTCCTTAATCTCATAACTATGAACAAAATGTAGATAATAACTGGGCAGAGTGATTGTGCTAAACTTTATTTAATCCCAAAATAATCCTCCAATTAGAATCAAATATTTAGGATGTGTGAGTTTGCCCAGGGATGAATACAAGTCTTTTTTTCTCCCAAGTTGTGGAGATTATGTCATAGAATTTGTTCATTCTTTCCAGTTGAACCCAGTCTTTTAATATAGGATGCAAAAGTAACTGACACCACTGAGTGATGTGTGAATTGGGGGAAGGGTAACTGATGAATATAGAAATTAAAGAAAACGCAAGAAATTCAACAATTCCCTTATAAGAATGTCTGTTAAAAGGTTTTGTAGGCAATGTTAAAAAAGCTTGGATCATTTTGTTCTGAAGGAGAAGACAGTGATTGAAAAGATTTAATCAGAAAGTTAAACCCAGTTAAAAAAAACTGGCAGTATTTAGAGGATAATGTCAAGGGAGAAGCCTGGAAGCATATGTGCAGGTTTGCAAGGTTTATCACAATGAGATAGGGATTTAGGATAAAGAGAAGTACTGAATCTTAAGGGAAACACCCAGAAGCCATTGAGATGCAGAGAAAACAGTTGTAAATCTTACCCAGGTCCTTGTAATACGAGGGAAATATGCAAGCGTAGGGCAAACTGGCACAAAAATGTGCAGCTCCACCCTGGCCTCTAGTCCAGCCTCCGATATAGCTTTTCTATAAATATTGGACCTCCAACCCAAGACAGGTCTTCTCACTCTTGAGATAGCCCACATTCTCCCTTTAATGTGTATCTATCTTCCTAAATAAACCTGTCTGTACCTTTGGCTTGGGCTGAATTATTTTTCTGTCACAAAATTGTTTGCTGCCTTGTATGCCAAGAACCCTGCTGGTCCTGAGTTGAGTTCCCCCTTTCCTCTTGGAACTCCTTGTACCCTTCTCCAGGGACATTTCTTCTCCTTTGGCAGCCACACTACTTTTTAAAAAATCTGATTTTCAGAGCTGGGGATGTAGTACAGTGGTAGAGTGCTTGCCTAGCACATGTGAAGCCCTGAGTTCAGTTCCCCTACACACAAAAAGTTTTATTTTCTCCATTGTGGTAGCACACACCTGTAATCTCAGCTACTTGGGAGGCTGAAGCAAAAGGATTACAAGTTCAAGGCCAGCCTCAGCTATTTAGTGAGACTCTGTCTCAAAATACAAAATAAAAAGGGCTGAGGGTGGCAAAGTGACATTGGTTCAATCCTTAGTAACAACAACAAATTTCAGGTTGCTGCAATTTAATTGCTGTTATTTCAAATAATTATTAATTTTTTGTTTCTCTTGACACAGTTACAAGAATGTGGTAATCTTGATCAGCTTCAAGGAAAGGAAAAAATCAATGAAGAGTGTCATCTAACTGAAAAAGAAAATGTAGAACATTTTACCACCTCTACAACTGATTCTGATTCATCTATAGCAGTTAAAGCACTAGAAATAAATACTTGTGGTTCAGTAGCAGGATTGCAACAAGAGTCTCTTGATGTTTCTCAAATGCTATCTGGAAAATCAAAGCAACCTGAAGCAAAAATGGAACCTACTTTTATTAAAGAGAAAGGTTCTACTTACTCAAATGAGGACAAAGATAATTTAAAAGAACCGGTAATAACCAAAGAAAAAGAATTGGATGGACATCACAATTTGAACAAAACTATAGTTCACAATATACCTGATTTTGATAGCATAAAAGAAACCAATATGCAAGATGGTACTGTGCAGATTATTAAAGATCATGTGACTCATTGTGCATTCACTTTTCAGAATTCTTTGCTATATGATTTGGATTAATTCTATATTATTCGGAATTTAAATGTTGCGTAAAAAAATTTTGGACCTAAAATAATTTCTTTCTGTTAAACATTAAAACAAAGGTAGTCAATTTGGAATTTTAATTCCAATAGGTAAACTGTAGTTTTGTTTTTGTTTGCCTTTAAATAGTTTTAATTTTGGAGATGTTTTAGAATTCCTCTAGTAGATATATTTTTTGAAGTAGAGATGTAAAACAGTTTTAATACAATGTGTGTGTGTGTGTATAAATATACATATATATTGACTTCTGTGTTGATTTTTGCTGCTTCTGCTTACCCTTTAAAATTTCAAAATATTCACCAAGTTGTGTTTGTCACACAAAGTAATTCTCAAGAATGCAATGAACTAGAAATATGAATCCAAGTATGGGAGTAGAATCCTAAACCTGTTTGTTTTATAAGTCTCACTATAGGGTGTAGTTGCTGAAACAAGAGCTTGCAGGGGGAAAGAACTTAACCATATTGATAATCTAAATAATTACAATACAAATATCTAAATCGAATTTTTAGCATTTTTGTTTGAAAACTATATTTTACTAATATATGTTGCACAAACTACATGAGGTTAGTTTTAATGATTTTCAAAATTCAATTTTTAAAAACAATTTCTTGCAAGTTAAGTATTAAAACATCTTTTGGTTTTTTAGAATACATTTGAGAATTTAGAACAGTTTAATTTTAATTTTTAAAAAGCTGACAATTTGTTTTGAAAAGAAAAATTATTTTACTTATATTATCACATCAAAGCAAAATCCATTCTTTTATAATCAATTTTTTAATAACCCAACTAAAATATGAGGCAAAGGGGAAATCCTAATGTGTTTCTCACAAAAAATTTTAGGACAGTGGGGCTGGGATTGTAGTTCACTGGTAGAATGCCTAGCATGCATGAAGCCCTGGGTTCCATCCTCAGCAACACATAAAGATAAATAAATAAAGGTATCCATTAAAAAAAAAAAACTTAGGATACCAGGAAAACACTTGATCTAATCACTAAACACAAGGCCACTGGCTGCTGTGTCCTGTTCTAAACATAGCTACTAATTCAGACTCTGGTCTTAGCTCAATTCTGGAAATGGCCTAATTTCTTTAGTCATTTAAACTGGAGATGTCAGGTCAGGGATCAAAAACTGGTATAAAGCCTGGTAATTATAATCTCCAGACAAAAACTGGCACTAGTGGCGCACACCTGTAATCCCAGAGGCTCACGAGGCTGAGGATGGAGAGTTCAAAGCCAGCCTCAGCAAAATTGAGGCACTAAAGAGCTCAGACCCATCTCTAAATAAAATACAAAATAGGGCTGGGGATATGGCTTAGTGGTTTATGCTCCCGAGTTCAATCCCTGGTACCTCCCTTATGCACCCCCCACCAAAAAAAGAAAAATACTGGCACTAGATTGGGATGTGAAGGTAGTAAAAAGGCAGCTCACAAAGGAACTGTCTCACCTTAGATGAGCATATATATTTTTCAACCACATTCTTAAGTTGATGCAATAGAAATTTGAGACTGTTTTCTTAGGTTGAGGGCTGAGGATATAGCTCAGTTATAGAGCACTTGCTTAGCATACATGAGGTACTTGGGTTCAACCCCCAGTACTGATAACAACAACAAAAAAAAGTTTTCTTAGGTTGAAACAACCAATAGTATTATCTACACAGAATATAGCTTTTGATGAGTAATTTTTTTTATTGAATGTAGTAATAAGGGAAACATATACAAAATATGGAGTAAATTTTAAGCCTGTTACCTATTATTTACTGTATCCATCTTTTTTTAAAAGTACCTTGCCAGGCATGGTGGTGCATGCCTGTGACCTCACCTACTCTGAAAGCTGACACATGAGAATCACAAGTTCAAACACAAGGGTAGCATAGGCAACTTAGGGAGACCCTGTCTAAAAATACAAAAATAAAAAGGATTGGAAATGTATGTAACTCAGTGGTAGAGTACTCCTGAGTTCAACCCCTAATACTGGCGACGGGTGAGTTAAAGCTGGCACTAGAATGTGTTGCACTTTGGCACAACTGAACTTTGTATCATTTCTGGCCTTAAAAAACAATTTAGGCTGTATTTCTCTTACACAGCAGCTTTTTTGTTTATTATGTATGCCTGCCTAATTTGAAAGCTAAATAGTTTCTTCCACAGTGAATGCACTGTCATGAGCAGGGTTTTATTTCAAACTTATTATACAATGTATAGATAGTAAATATTAAGATGTAATGCTTTTAAAAGTTCAAAACTTTTAAAATATCTTTACTAAATTTGGTATAAGGAGTAAACAAAATTTGTTCTGCAAAATGATTAGGAACCTTTTTATGCAAAAATGAGTATTTTATTTTGGTACACTAAAAGAAAAAAAAAAATCAAATCCATTGTATTTCTACACTGAGGTGAAAACAATGTTTAAACTTGCTTATCAATCAAATACATTCCAAAAGAAAGTGTGTTCTATGAAGGTTCCAAAGCACAGGCAAATCTTAACACAATATACAGGAATCAGTAATACTGAAAATGACTGTTCTGACAGGGTGTTTAGCAAATATAACTTTTGAATTATTCAACCAGTGAAGCAATCCCTTCCTAATAACTGTGTCAAGAGTGAAACTGGGTTGTTCCATTAATACTCTTGTGATTTCATTGTAACATTTTTTTACTGCTATCAATTTTAAATTTGCTGTACTTAAAATAAGTTTTTGAAAGTGGAAAAGTATACAAAGTTTCAGATAAAAAGATTAACAGATGCAATTTAAATAAAACTTTCCCTCTTCCCTCATATCAATTAACAATAATCATTACTTTTAACAGAGACAGACTGAGCTTTAAAATTCAACTCCCAAAATGAAAACTTGTTTTACATCTTAATCAGATATAACTGGAAAAGATTATTATATTATATATTTGGATACCTTTTACAAGAAAAAAAAATTTTTTTGTATTAAAGCAGAAACCAGTTCCTAAATCTTTTATTCAGTTGTATATCCTGTTGAGACAAATATCAAAAATAGAAGACTGTCACTTTTGCTTTTGTAATTGACTTTTTTTTTCACTGCAGCCTTCTATAACTTTTACAGAGTTCATGGTCCCTAATATCTCCCCACCCTCCATTTTTCCTAGGTGGGGAAATAGCTACCACAGTAAACTTTTCACTGATAGTTAAAGTTTCTGGAAACATGTACTGTTTGTTATTATTTAAGAGTAACTCAATTTGGGCACTCTGGGTGGAAGGCCTACATGTTTTCTTGTGATGCATTCCACAGTCTCCAGCATGAAAAATCCTAGGAGCTTGAGGAACCAGTACTTTCCAGAATTTTGGAAGACAAGATACAGTCAAATATTGAAGAGTCCAGTCCCAGTTATAATCATCATAGGTACAGAAAGTGTCTGTGCACTCAATCAGTTTCTGATATGCATCCCGGGTCAAGGCTAAACCCATATTGTGCTCTGTGGATTTCCAAGTTTTCACATCTACCTTGTCAGCAATGCCATGGAAATTACGACTGGCAGTATAGGTCCCCAGTGAGATAACATCACACTCAGGGCACTCTTGCGCCTTCAATTTCCACATTTTTTTGAAGACATGGTAAAAGTCTGGAGCTAAGTAGTGGTCCTCTTCTAGGAAGAGTATAAGGCCAGTGTAATCTCGAAGAACTTTGACCCTTTCCCATACGAAATGCAGCTTCCACCACCAATGATGTTTGGTTTGGGAGAATTTGGCCTCTCTGTAATGGCCGAAGGAGTCAGGATACTCAGCATTAATACACCCCAATTTCAAAGCTGCATTCTTCTGCAGGTCTCTAGGGCAATCTCTAGGATCACTCCCTGGAAACTCGTTGGGGTACAACTGAATGCTGAAAGGAAAGAACACCTGAAGAACAGGGCAGAAATCCACCCCAGCGATCAAATGATTGATCTCTGTCGACCAGAAGTCATGGCTAAAAATGACGAGGACGTTGTCAATGCCCTGGGCTTTTCGAAGTGAGTCCAGTAACAGTCTGAGGTATTCCGGCCGGTTATGCACCTGGACCACCAGCACCAGCTCCCGGGGGGTCCAGGTGCCAGCCTTATCTACATTCCTCAGCGTCTGATCAAAGTTCAGCTGGTACACGAGGGACCGGTATCGCAGCGTAAGGTTGTCCGCCTCCGGCTGCGGGACCGCGGGGACCAGTGGAGCCGCCGACTCGTTGGAAACCCTGCGGATGCCCACCGACACCGCGGGATGGTCCCCACCCCGGCCTCCCGCGCCCCGCGCGGGCTCGACGTCCAGCAACGGCGGGGCAAGGGCTTCGTTCTTCCTTTGTCGCCCATTGCTGCTCCAGAGGACGAAGCCGCAGGCTGCCACCACGAGCATCAGAATTAGCACCTTCCGTTTGTAGATGCGGAACCTCATGGTCTCCAGAGCCGAGGGCACAGGCGGGAGGGCGCGGAAAGGAGCTGTCGGCCTCTGCAAGGAAGGGGCGGGAGGGCGATCGCCCCGGCCTGTGGTTGTAGGAACTGGCCCCTGCGGCTGCCCCGCTAACTCATCTCGGGCCTCGGGGGTCCTGGGGCTCGAAGGCTCTCAGCTGCCCCAAGTCACCCGGGATCCGCACATCTTCGCCCGGCAGCTGCAGCGGCCCCGCCGCTAGGAGCCGCGGCTCCGCGTCTTCTCGGTCCTCTCCATTCAGCACCACTGGTCCCGGAAGAAGCCCAGCCGCAAGCCCACCGCACCCCAGCTTCGTTACCTGCGCCTCCAGCGGCCCTGTGTCCTCTGCGCTCTCATCCTGACTCGGGTCCCGGACGACCAAGACTGAGCGACCACGTAGCCTCGCCCCACTACCGCGGCGATCGTTCTGACAACCCGGTACTGGCCCGCGGAGCGCCACGGCCCTTTGGCCCACACCCCTTGGGCCCTCCCCATAGGCCGTTGGTTGGCGCTTCCCAGACGCGTCCGGAGGCGACTGGCCGTAGTAGCCAGCTGCCTATTGGCTCGCAGTCCTGTCGCTCAAGTTCAGTTCCTACTTCCGCTCCATTCCTCCCTTTCCTGTAAGGCGCGAGCGTGGCGAGGCGAGGGCTGCGGCCGCGAGATCTCTGGGTAAGTTAGCAGCTGGACTGTAGCGGTTTAAACACGAGTCTCCATTGCTCAGAACCCGGGGAAGGACCTTGTAAGAAAGGGAAGGCGAGACCCGCTGCTTTGGCTTGGGTGAGTTTAAGAATTGGTTTCTCTGGTTAGGAAAGGAGTGTAGGCATGGCGGCTACTGGGCCGCGAGGCACGCCGCCTGGCTAAGGACACGTCAGCCCTGATGCTGACGGGTGACGGTGCTTCGGAGGGAAATCGTGAAACCAGACCGGTGTGATTCTTGGAGAAGGAACAGGGCGGATCGTAGCAGAAGCTACTATATCCCGCATTGCATCAGTCACCCAGGAGCTAGAAAATGGAGGAAGTGGGGGGGGGGGGGAGGGAGTCGTAAGGAAATTCTTGTCTTTACCCTCTTTGGAAGAAAATTGGGTAAACACTGCATTTTTCTTTCTGGGCAGCACACTTTCTATAGACAACTGTGTGTACTGATTACTCCCAGTGCTGATGCTCGTGTGTTTAGTGAGTAGCTCTATAAATAATCCAGTAATTTAATTATGCATAAGGTGTTGGGCATTGAATCCAGGGGCTCGCACGTTTGGCAAGCGCTGTTCCACCAAGCTGCATTCCCAACCTTGTCCAATAATTTTAAACATTCTAAAAGTGTGCACTTGTATGTACAGTTATCCATGGAGAAAATGAGTATTTGTTAAACTTATACATTACTGATTTATGAATGCTGTTTTTTTCTGTAAATATTTGTATAAAACGTCTCACTTTTCAAAATGTTTAATGTGTGGTACGTTAAATACTTTATTACAGTTTTCATCGCGTAGACACCTCTGCTGTAAAGATGGTCAATGTACCTAAAACTCGAAGGACTTTCTGTAAAAAGTGTGGCAAGCACCAGCCTCACAAAGTGACCCAGTATAAGAAGGGCAAGGATTCCCTTTACGCCCAAGGAAAGAGGCGCTATGATCGGAAGCAGAGTGGCTATGGTGGGCAGACAAAGCCAATTTTCCGCAAGAAGGCTAAAACCACGAAGAAGATTGTGCTAAGACTTGAATGCGTTGAACCAAACTGCAGGTCCAAGAGGATGCTGGCCATCAAGAGATGCAAGCATTTTGAACTGGGAGGAGACAAGAAGAGAAAGGGCCAAGTGATCCAGTTTTAAACTTTTTGATTTTTTTTTTCCCATTTAATTTTGATGCGAAAATACTGAAACTAGAAAAATTACCTGTAGGGAAATAAATGACAATTATATAATCATACCTAAACCTTTTGTGTGAGTGTGTGTGTGTTTACTCAAAATTGCATGTTTAATGTAGTTAGGGCTTTAGAATGTGGTTCTTAATTTAAATTCTTTGAAAGTGAATTAAGGTTTATCCTCTTCTGAAATTCTATTTAAAATTAGTTCCACGAATTGGAATTTTGTGTTTATAAAAAAATCCTGCCTTGAATTTTACAACCAGGTTATAGACATAAGTCATGTTCTAGGGGAAAATGCACAGAGTACTATTTCCTTCTTTGTTTCTGGTCAATTCACATATACAGTAGCCATCCATTATCAATTGGGGTTACTTACAAGATCTCTGGTACTCTTATAGTACTGAAACCAAAGTTTTTTTCATTCATATATAGAGGATGAAGCTTAATTCATAAGTTTGGCATAATGGTAAGAATAAAAATTATGATTGTGTTTACAGGGTTGGGGCCTACCAGGAAACTGAGGCAGCAAGAACTCCCTTAGAACCCTGATGCTCATGACAGTCAGATTTCAGATGTATTGCTCAGAGTAACAGGAAGAATTTATTAGAAGGGATACACTCCCTTGAGTGTATCCATGTAAAAGTGCAAGGGTACACTCAAGGGAGAAAGTGGGTTTTCAGAGGAAAGGGACAGTGTGCTTCTATACTCCAGTTTTAAGTTGTTTTTATGTGGTGCTGAGGATTAAGCCCAGTACCTCACACATGCAAGACAGATGCTATACCAACTGAGCTACAACCCCAGCCCTCCTATACTCCAGTTTTATTGGGGACCCCAGAGAAATTTCCATAAGAGTCCTGACCAGGTCCACCTCATCACTTTTGACTGGCATTAGGATGATATCAGATTTTCAAGCCCCCCCCCCGCCCCCTTGCCATGAAACTACACTGACTTATATAAATTCTTAATTATAAATCATTACAGATAGAGGAATTCTTCCTGAGTTTCAGGATCTGGCCTATGAAAAGGGTCACATAATCTCCCCTTCGGGGTAGCTTGAATTACTCTTACGGACATTATTTTGGGCCCGCATTTCTGCAGTATATGACATATACTGCAGATAACAGGTAACTTTGCTAACGAATATGATATATCCTGACCACTTAAAGCCAGGTAGGGCTGCAGGTAAATCATTCCTTGGAAAAGAAAGCATGTGGGAGTCGGCACAGTGGGCCCATTTTATAGAATTATTCCCTTAACCTCCTGTCCTCTTATCAGTTAACACTGTAATAAAATTGCCGAGATTTTCTCTGGCACTTAGGGGCCATTGAGAAAATAAGAGCTATTTGGACATAAGCATTGTGACAGTTGTATGATATAACAGATGACTACAGAATAATAGGAAGTATACACTGTGGATACACGGGACAAAGCATGAGTTCAGTCTCGGGCATAAAATTTCATCATTGCTAATCAGAGTTGCTTGCAATTTAAAACTTAATGAAAATTATTTCTGATATTTTCCATTTAATATTTTCAGAATGCAGTTTGACATGGTAACAGATGATGTAAAAGAGGATGTTGTGTATGTTTGGTGAATTTATAATAAAAAGTAAAGTTTTTTTGCTAGAATTCAAATTGCCACTAGCAATACAAACTTACTTTTTAAAAATTTATTTATTTAGTACTGGCGATTGAACTCCAGGGCACTCGACCACTGAGCCACATCCCCAGCCCTATTTTGTATTTATTTAGAGACAGGGTCTCACCGAGTTGCTAGGCGCCTCACAGTTGCTGAGGCTGGCTTTGAACTTGTGATTCTCCTGGCTCTGCCTCCCAAGAGGCTGAGATTACAGTTGTGTGCCACTGCACCTGGCACAAATTTACATTTTCATTCAATTATTCCTCAACCAGTATCTGGTCTCAGAGTCAGCTCTGAGAAGAAACTGTTTTAATGGTCACATCTGAATAAAGTTTTTAATAAGAAAGTGTCCTAACAGCCAGGCGCAGTAGTGCATGCCTGTACTCCAAGTGACTTGGGAAGCTGGGGCAGGAGTGTTGCAAGTTCAAGACCAGCCTCAGAAACAGTGAGACTCTGTCTCAAAAAATAAAAAGGACTGGGGATGTAGCTCAGGGGTGTAGTGCCCCTGGTACCTAAAAAAAAAAAAAAAAAAATTAACATTTGAAATAGAATCACTCATGAATATTGAATTTTAAGGGGGAAAAAAATGCCCAAAGTGAGAAACATTTTAGGAAAATGAAGGAGTAATTCTCAAAGAGTCTTCTAGATATAAGTGTGGTACTACATGCCTGTAAATCCAGTGACTAAAGCAGGAGGATGGCAAGTTTGAGGCCAGCCTGAAAATTATGCAAGACCCTGCTTCAAAATAAAAGTAAAAAAGGTGGGGGTAGAGCTCAGTGACATCCCTGGGTTAAATCCACATGTTGAGTATGGCCTTAGGCCTGAGCCTAAGCAACTCCATTTAAAAAACTCCAGTTTGAAACCTGCAGTCTCACCAGGGACACACACCCACAGAGCCCTCCAGTAAGGCCTCAAACAAGTTATTTCCCCTCACCCTGGCAGGCTGTCCTCACCTGGTAAGAGGGAAAGGCAAAAAGATCAGGGTGGAGATCACCAGACCTAATGTTTCTGACCCCAGTGTAAATGATGTCATGGAGAAATCCGGTGGTAGTTGATAAGGATTGAAAGGGGGGTCAAAAGCCCAAAAATTTAGTATAAATAGAGCTAATGAACAGGGATTCAGCCAGCTGAAACAAGGATGCATTTGAGCTGGAAAGCCTGATGAGGACCTGACATTCCATCACTTGTCATTGTTTCCTGAGCCTCTGCTTGATCCTCACCATTCTCAAAACCTCCTCTGGACCCTGGTGAGAGCTGAAACTCCTCCCTATGACCCGCCACCCCCACCCCCCAACCTGTTGTCCACTCCACGCCAAGAAAAGCCTGCCTTGGTTCTGGAGCTGATCACCCGGGTCTAAGTGAGTGTGCATCTGCTGGACATAAAGCCTAAGGTTTAAGACCTTTGAAATTAGCATGCAGAGGGAATGTCTGTCATTAGCCTGTCATGATTAAGTGTGTTTTGCAGTGCTTAGAATTAATCTAGAATTGTTTGCTGTGAATTAATCTAGCATTGTTTGCTATGAATTGATTATGTCTATTGCAGTGCCTTAGCACTAAGGATTGTCGTTTTCTTGATTAAGAACCTATAGAATGAAATTGTATTAACTTGAGTGAATAAAGCATTGAAAGGCTCAGAAGCTCATGGACATTCTTTATTTCTCCCCTTGACTGCATGTCGCAATTTTGCCCCCTCGAAACACCCCATCACCACACACACGGACACACACAAGACAAAAAGAACAATAAAAATGTTGCAATAAGAACAATAATAGAGGGAACCTACCTACAAGCCCAAATAATATGTGAATACTAGAAGGTTTTTTTCCAGTAATTTTTCCCCTTTCTTTCAAAAAACAAAACACAGTTATGAGGTTATTGCAATGGTCTAGCGGAAAGTATGATTTGAAGTAGGACAGTGGGAATGAACAGGATAGGAGTTAGTACTGATTCTGTTTCCCAGGATTAAGTCAGTTCCTTTTCCATTCTCTGTCCTAGATCAAATTGTTCTTTAGCTGGTGTACTGCCACCACTTTTTAAATTAAAAACTTACACAAACTTAATAGCAAAAAAACCCCCAATACAGTCAAAAGACAAAAAAATTCTACTAAGTACAGAATGTAATCAGTAAAAATGGCAAACTTCTGCTACCTCACTCAACCCTAAAAGTAAAAAAACTACAAATTAAACAAAGATTATGTGAAGGGCATTCTAAAACTTGTAAAAGCTTTATTCTATTCCTACTTAATGCTTGGTGAATATAATTCCGTATATAGAATAATATATGTAAAAACACCAAAAATGAAGTGCTTAACAACTTAAAACTGAGTATCTCTTATCTAAAATGCTTGGGACCAGAAGAGCTTTGGATTTTGATTTTTTTTCCCCAGGATTTTAAAATATTTGTGTATACAAAATTAGATATTTTGGGGATGGGCCCAAGACTAAACACAATTCATTTGTTTTATACATAAGGAAACATTACATATATATGCTTACACTTTATACACAGCCTGGAGGTAATTTCATACATTATTTTAGCATACTTTCATTTTTATTAGAACATTATAGTTAAACATAGTAGTTGGGTTCATAATACATGGAATTCCATTTCAGTTCACATTCCCCACCTTTGCCCTACTCTTCTCCTTACCCCCATTCTCCTTCCTTTACTCTAATGATCTTCCTTTTGCTCATCTATTCATTTTTTATTGGTTCTTTCTGATAAATGTGAAATTCCTAGTATACATTTATATATGCACATAGCATGATTTTTAAAAATTCACTCCCCATTTCCTCCCCTTTCCCATCACTCCCCTCCCCCTTTCCCTCTCCTTTTTCTATTCTACTGATCTCTGTATGATTTCTGATATTCCCCTCCTCCTTCATTTTGCTCAAGCTTCTACATGACAAGAAAACATTTGACCCTCGATTTCCCGAGGCTGAATAATTTCCGCCCATTTACCAAATGCCATTTCATTCTCCTTTATGGCTAGGTAAAACCATTGTGTATATATATCACAATTTCTTAATCCATTTATCTATTGATGGGCATCTCAATTGATTCCATAATTTGGCTACTGTGAATTGTGCTGCTTTATACAATGGGAGGGGGGGGCTGTATTGCTATAGTATGCTTCTAGTTCTTTTGGAATAATACTAAGGAGTGGGATAGCCAGGTCATATGGTGGTTCCATTTGCAGTTTTTTGAGGAATCTCCATACTGCTTTCCAGAGTGGTTGTACTAGTCTGTAGTCTCATCAACAATGGGGTACCTGCATTTTGACTGCAACCTGTTATGAGGTCAGGTGTGATTTTCCACTTGTGGAATGTCAGTGCTCAAAAACTTTTAGATTTTGGAGCACTCTTGGGATTAGGGACACTTAATATGTGCAAAGTTTAATAATAAGTTTTCACTATTATTTGGAATTAGTCCTCCAAAGTGTATTTTATGTATAATAATACTCCCTTAATTGATATTCAAACAGAAAGGTGACATGAACATTCTTACAATTAGAATGATTGGGATTAGTATCTATTTAACATTAAAACCCAACCGTACAAATCTGGAAACTTTATGGTGAAATCAATACTGCAATAAATGAATAAAAAGTTAACCCCACAATAATATTAAGATCAGTTTTAATGAAATTAAAGTTTTAAGGTCAAGTGACTTGAAATGTTGGCATAACACACATTCTTTTCCCCGAGTAAGTATATATAAAAGGCTTCCCTTGGACCTAGCACGGTGCTACACCCTGTAATCCCAGCAGCTTGGGAGGCTGAGGCAGGGCCATGAGTTAAAAGCTAGCCTTAGCAAACTAGCGAGGCTTTAAGCAACCCTGTCTCTAAATAAAATTTTAAAAAAGGCTGGGGATGTGGCTCAGTGGTTAAGTGCCCTCGGGTTCAATCCCCAGTGGGGGGAAAAATAAATAAATAAAGGCTTCCCTTTTTCCAATTTGGCACTGCAAAATCATAAGTCACAAAGGAATCCCAAGCTTACTTATAACTAAATGAAATTTCTTTTTGTGGCATCACCTATTACTTTAACACATCAGAGGAATTTACATAGCAGGTTAGAGAACAAAAGTAAGAGGTAATAGGTGCTTCTGTACCACCCATATTATCTACTAAGACCACAGTGTGAGCAACAGAGTGGAGATTCATGGTAGTAGTTCCTTGAACGTAACAGTTCAGACAATATCTTCCACAAACACAGGTTTTTGCAGCATCCAAATCTTGGCAAAGATGGTAAGGAATGATATGAGAGCCATATGGAATCCTATTGGAAAAAACAATGTTAAAGACATATTTTATGATAACTAGATTTCAGACTTTTATATTAGAAAGAAATTATTTGTACACTGGATTATAATGATGGAAAAATAAAATTACAATTAAGGGGACTTAGTATATTGTAATTTCCTGAAAAGTGTGGACAAATATACTAATTAACTATGAAAGTATCTTTGAGCATGACCACTTAATAGCACTATCACACACACCTATGTATAATTTACTTATATATGTAAATATAATATATGTGTGTATATATACATATACATATACATCTCTCTCTCTCTCTCTCTCTCAAGGGCCTTGCTAGGCAAGCACTCTACCAGTTAGCTAAATCCCCAGTCCTTTTTATTTTTATTTGGAGACATGATCATGCTGTTGCCCAGCCTCAATTTGCAATTCCTCCTGTCTCAGCCTGAATGTTTGAATGTAGGACCCAGTTTTGTTTTCTTAAATTCCTCAGGCGATTCCAATGTATAGCTAGCTATAATTAAGAATTTCTTGCCAGATGCAGTGGTGCACACCTGTGATCCCAGATACTTGAGAGACTGAGGCAAGAGGATGGCAAGTTTGAGGTAAGCCTGCAAAACCCTGTTTCAAAATTAAAAAAAAAAAAAAAAAGGTTGGGGATATAGCTCAGTGATTAAGCACCCCTGGGTTCAATCCCCAGTATAAAAGAAAAATTCAGATATCTGATTTAATTCATCTACAGAGTGGTGACTGATTATCTGAAGTTTTAAAAGATCCTCAGTGCAAAGTAAAGTTTGAGAACCACTGCTTTGTAATAATAGTTCTTCTTCCTTTTTTTTTTTTTTCCACTATTTTTTAGTTGTTGATGGACCTTTATTTTACTTATTTGTATGTGGTGCTGAGAATCGAACCCAGTGCCTCACACATGCCAGGTAAGTTACCACTGAGCCACAACCCCAGTCAAGAAATAATAGTTCTTAATGATGGAGACGGCAATGGAAGGGTAGTGAAATGGATTTTAGTGGGGTCCGTAAGAATAATAAAGTATGCAAAAATTCTGTTTACTCATTTGTGTATTTTTCTCAATTCTTAACTTTGGTCAATTTTTAAAAGATTCCCTGAACCGTTAATAAGGAGAAATATGATCATCCTACCATTTTATAGGCATTCAAAAATATTTTGGTTATCATCTTAATTTCCACACCTATATGAAAGAAGTATGAGGGTTGGGGCTGTGGTTCAGAGGTAGAGCGTTCGCTGTGGTTCAGATGTAGAGCGTTCGCCTACCATGCGTGAGGCACTGGGTTCGATCCCCAGTACCACATACAAATATGTGTCCACCTATAACTAAAAAATAAACATTAAAAAAAAAAGAAGCATGAGCAAAATGAACAACTGGAGTTTAGAGTCTCATGAAACGAGCTGCAGTTAGTGTTCAAAGTCAAGAGGAAGAGAACCAACAGCTACCGAGTTGTTCTATTATGCCAAATGCTTTGGCATTGCATTTGCTCATTTATTTTCACAACTCTGTAAAGTTAATATTATTATTTCTATTTCACAGATGGGAAAATTTAATCAAGAGGTTTAACTTGCTAAAGTCAAACAAAAGGGTAAAGCCAGGAATCAACCCCAAATCTAACTCTAAAGACTACACACTTTACCATTATGCCAGAATGGAGTTTTCAAATTTAAGGGTGCATCAAAATCACCTGGAGGACTCAATAAAACACAGGCAGATCCTGGTATGTCTGGGGCATAGTCTAAGAACTTGCCTAATTAACAAGTTGGTAGGTGATGCTGCTGCTGCTGCTTCTGCTCAGAGGACCACACTTTGAGTAACAATGACATTCATTCTATTTATGAAGGGCCTACTATGTGCCAGAAGCAGAGCATCCCATGTTTTAGACCCTAAAGAAATAATGGAGAATAAAACAAAATTCAAATGGTATACACCTGTAATTCCAGTGGTTTAACTTGCTAAAGTCAAACAAAAGGGTAAAGCCAGGAATCAAGTGGTTTGGGAGGCTAAGGCAGGAGGATCGCAAGTTCAAGCCAGCCTCAGCAATTTAGTGAGGCCCTACACAACTCGGGGAGACCCTGTCTTTAAATAAAATACAAAAAAGGGCTGGGGATGTGGCTCAGTGGTTAAGTGCTCCTGGGTTCAATCTCTGATACAAAAAAAAAAAAAGAAAGAAAAATTCATGCCCTCACAGATCTTACATGCTTATTAGAAAATCTGACAACAAAGAAACAATATGTTAAAAAAATATAGTGTCAGGTAATAAATATTATGACACCCCCGAAACAACAACAACCAAAAAACCAAGCCATGTAAGGAGGAAGGAAGTGAAGAATACAACTTTTGATAAGGTGGACAGATAAGAACTTTCTGGAATGGTACTTAGGCAGAAAACTCAATGAAGTGAGGGAGAGAGTAGGAGAATTTCCTGAAAACCATTCCAAGCAGAGGTAAGGAACAACAAAAAGGCCATCATAGCAAGGGGTCAGGTTGTACACAGCACTTGAAGCTATGCTAGACTTTGACTATTATTCTGAATGATAAGAATATTAGAATGTTACCAAAGATCCAAATTTAATTATTATGAAAGTCTTACCTATTATATAGTATGGCTCGTGCAGAAGATTCCAATAAACTTAATGGCACTTGCAGTTTTATAACTGGAAAGACCTTTGGCTGTTCAAAAGTATTTCCAAAAAGATCCAAATACTCAAGGGATAGGTTTTTAAATTCACATGGCAAAAATGAAAGCTTATTTCTAGCTGCTGACAAAAAACGAAGGTTTGCTAGCTGTCCTATCTTGAAAGGAAACTGAATCAATTCATTATCATCAAGTTTTAAATCTGTAAGTTCTCGCAGTTGGCAAAACTGCACAGGGAGTACCTTGATTTTGTTTTTGCTGAGATCCAAACTCCGAAGTGACTTTTGGAGTGCAGACTGACACAAGGCCACACTAAATGACTCCAAGTGATTGTCATTCAGGTTAAGTTCTTGAAGGTGCATGAGGTCTCCAATTGTCGCTGGAAGCTTTTTTATGTGGTTGTGACTCAAGTCCAACTTCCTAAGGTTTTTTAAACAAAGCATACGCATGTCAACTCGAACAAGCCCACAATAAGAAACCTGAAGGTGTTCCAGAGAATATGGAAAGTTCTTGCTTAGAGGATAGTCCTTTTTGGAAGTGATAACCATTTTTGTTTTAAATTTTTCAAATTCTGATGTTTTCACTGGTGTGAGTGTGGAAAGTGATGCGTTGATATCACAGCCTTTATGAACCAGTCTCACAGCTGAAAGGAAACTCTTCAAACTGCCAGAATTGGCCTGAATAAATAAAAAAGTTATAAGATCATAAATTCATTTTTAGATAACACATATGCTAGTTCTTCCCATAACAAATCCTGCATTTATATATGAAAGTCACACATTATTTTATTGAAATTGGCTGTACAAAATATTTTTTTTAGTATTTTATTTGGTCTAAATTTCAATTTTAAAAGTTTCTGAAAAAATTTGAGAATTATATTTAGCATAAACAGTCTAAATAAAACTATTCAAAGGGAGAATTGTTAAGAGTATAAAAATGAGATAGGCCATGCTTACGTATGTAATGCAAAATGCTCAGGATGCCATTCACAGATACTAGGAGTTGAACAAAGAGATGGCTCTTCTCAAAAACAACAAAGTAGCATGGCACAGTGGTGCATACCTATAATCTCAGAGGTTCCAGAGGCTGAGGCAGGAGGATCACAAGTTCAAATTTAGTTCAACCATTTAGCGATGCCTTAAGCAACTTAGCGAGAACCTGTCTCTAAATAAAATACAAAAACAGGGCTGGGGATGTGGCTAAGGGTTAGAAAATACAAAAGGTAGAGATCCAGCTGGAGAGAATGAGAAATCACTTATAAAGTGGCATTTGAATTCAATCATCAATAAAAATAGCTAATACTTATAGGATATTTTAGAAGTTTCCTAAAATTTATAAGTGAGGGACAAATGAACTTTGAAAAACTATGTATTCCTATTTTGTGGGAATGTGGGAGTTGTGTAGAATATTGGAAATATAATATAGTATTAGGATACATTGTGAATGAGCTTGGATATCAAGACAAGGAGGGAATGATCAAGCTGTGAGAAATTGCTGAAGAATTTTGAGCAGGAGCCAGGCATGGGGGTGTACATCTGTAATCCCAGCTACTTGGAAGACTGAGGCAGGAGGATCATAAGTTTGAGAAGCCTAAGCAACCTGGCAAGACCTTGTCTCAAAAAACAAAAAGGGCTGGGGCTACAGTTCTGGGTAAAGCGTCTCTGGGTTCAATCTACAGAATCAATCAATCTATGCATCAATCTATCCATTCATCAATCAGTCAGGCTAGGAATGTAGCTCAGTGGCAGAGTGTTTACTTTAGTTTGCAGAGGGCCCTGGGTTTGATCTCTAGCTCTGTGGGGAAAAAAAAAAAAAAGTTGAGTAAGATATTGCTCTTACTCTCTGGGAAGGAGAAAGAAGGGGTGAGAGATGGCAAAGAAAATAGGTTTTAAAACATTTTTAATGGTTTAGTTACTTTAAAAATGATTATAGTAAATAAAACACAAAAGAGATGGTTCTCGTTGCATTTTACCCCCCTTTTAAAATCAAATTTGTTTGGTGGTACTGGGGATTGAACCCAGGGACATGCTTCCACTGAGCTACACCCTCAGCCCTTTTAAATTTTTATTTTTTAATTTTTCAGACAGGGTTGTGATGGCCTCAAACTTGCAATCTTCCTGTCTCAGCTCCCAAGTCATGAGCCACTGGGATTATAGGCATGTGCCACAGTACTCAGCTTAAAATGAAATTTGTAACATGAGGTTTAGGTGGCAAAAATGCAGTCCTGTGCTACTTGCTATTACAGTTCCAATTTAAGAACACTATCTATACTGGGCACAGAGGCAAACCTACTTTTCCTCCTTGTCTTTGGAGCCTCCCTAAGGCAGCCTCTGCTCTCTCCTAAGGCAAAAAATACACACAAGCATATCTGGGAAGCTGCCTCTTCAACATACCTGCAAGAATCCTCCCTTACTTAGCTATGTGAGATATCAGAATGCTGGAATAGCTTTCTTCTTTAAAGAAAACAGAGTCAAGCAACCTAACCTGTTTTCAATACCATACCTTACTTAGACAGATATCAACAGGAGGCTCCTTTAACCGGATAGTAGCTTTCCCTTCATCTGCAAATTTGGTGAAGAACTGCTCAATGTTTTCCTTTAGCTGCTTAAAATCAATGGGGAAAAAAGGACAAAAATAGTATTGTTATTCAATAATTCTTACTACAACTAGAATGTACCAGTTACTTTGCCATGTTTTGATTGGGCTTTTAGTCCTTAAGTCTGGGTGTTTTACAGTTGCCTCCCACTAGGTTATAAAAGAATTCCATGACAGGTGAAATTGAGTCTTTTTTATTTCTGTATTCCCAGAGCTAGAACAGTGACTGACACATAATGAGTACTCAACAAATTTTCACGACTGATGTCACATTTGCTTTAGACTTCAACAACTATTTATTGAGAAGCCACTATGTACCTCATACTATGATACAGGCTGAGACATAGTAGCGAATAAGACTGACATGGCAACTACACTTAGAGTTGACAGTATGATATGACAGTTTTAAAAAGTAATTATAAGCATGACAAATATATCGTGTAGGCTGCTATAATCTTGGCAAGGAAATCTTACATAGTCTATAGGAAGGTGACCTTAAAGGTGAGATTAGAAGTATTTGGGTGATGTTGAGCAACAGATGCAAGGAAAATGGATGGAACAGCATTCCTAGGAGGAAAAAGGTAAAGCCTGAGGAAAAGGAAAGCTTGACAACTATGAGGAACTGAAAGAAGGTAATTCAAGATGGTGGAGAGTTCTGGAGAAAAGGCAGAAGAGTATGGAAGGATAAGAAGAAATCAGACAATGAAAGACTTTGTAATGTATATTAAGAATTTTAGACTTTACCCTAAGAATAATGAAATCCACTGTGGGTTTTTTTTCTTCTTCTTCTTTTGGCAGGCGGGGATGCAGGGGAGTATACAGGATTGAACTCAGAAGTGCTTAACCACTGAGCCACATCTCCAGACCTTTTTTGTATTTTATTTAGAGTCAGGGTCTTGCTAAATTGCTGAGGCTGGCTTTGAACTGGTGATCTTCCTGCCTTAGCTTCCCCAGCTGCTGGAATTACAGGTGTGCACCACCATGCCCAGCCTAATGAAGGCTTTTAAAATAAGAAACATGATCAAATCTCTTATTTTTAAAAATTCCCTTAACTGCAGGGTAAAGCCTGAACTATGAGGAACAAGAGAATGGGACAGAAGAGGGACAATGGAAGAAGGAAGGAGAGCCTTTTAAGAGACTAGCCAGGAAAGTAATAGTTCAGAGCTGGGATGAAAAATGCTTAGGAAGTAGAATTCAAAGGATTCAATGATATAATGGATATAGGGAGGCAAAAACTTTAAGGTTTCTGGATGGTAGTGCTATTTAATGAGTTGTCGAACACTGACAAAGGCAGGTTTAGGGTGACAAGAAAAATTAATTTCTAGATATTCTGAATTGAAAATTTGAAACATATTCAAGTAAGATCTCCAGTAGGTAGTAGATTTGAACTCACAGTTAAGGAAAGAACTAGCTAAGATACAGGTTTAGTCAGATGGATGGTAGCTTGTCACAACGCAGGAAAGTAAAATGTCCCACAGTTAGTACTAATGTCTATTCTTCATGGCCCAGGTCTGGCATTACCTTAATTCATCCAGCCAATGTTTATTGAACACCTACTAGGTTCTGAGTACTATTGTACCATATCTGCCAAACCTTCTCAAGCTCCTGTAATCAGAATTCATCTCTCTTCTTTTTAATAGTCTAGTAATAGCACTTATTATAGCCCATCTTGTATTATAAGTAGTGGCTTCTGTTTCTCCCTATGATTAAGTCAAGTTTCTTATCTCACAGTTTCTAGCATTGCACCCTGCACACAATAAGTCTTCAACTAAAGATTTACAACAAAATTTGGTTAGGATTCTGACCAGCTTGTCTATTAATGCAGCAAAAATTTAAGAAGGGAGAGTACAGGGGCTAGGATTGTGGCTCAGTGGTAGTGTGTTTGGCACGAATGGGGCATTGGATTCAATTCTCAGCACCACATACAAACAAATAAATTAAATAAAAGTCTATTGACAACTTAAAAAAAAGTACATTATGAGTTTTTTAAAGAGACAATACCTACACTGGGCATGAAAAAGGTCAGTTTTGGGGAACTTAATCGTGGAGAAAAAGAGAGGCCCAATTCTAGTTACAAGTTTCCTTCTGACATTTAATGGTTCTCTGAACTATAACATGTTGAGTAATTTCTAAATTCTTTCAATTTTTCAAAAAAAAAAATTGCATGAAGTGATTCCATCAAAATTTAGACTTTCAGCTACTTACAGCAAACATTAGGTGGTTATGATAGTAACACTATTTTTCCTCAACTAAGTATTCACTGTGGAATATAATATGTAAGGAAAAATAATCCTAGAAATTGTATAATACCCAAAGTTAGAAGCAAGGTGGATGATGAATTGTTTGCTTGGTTTTATTTGTAATAGCTATGAAAATATTCTGTTTTCACAAAATAATATAGTGCCTGGTAATAGAAGAAACGGAATTTTTATAAAGAAATCTATATTTGAAAGTTTTGAAACTTCAACTTCTAACAGCTTCTAGAGTTTGTCACAGCTCTACAGAAAAGATCTGGGCCTAAGAAATCAGGTCAAACATTAAAAAAGAGGGAACGGGGACATTATAACCAATAACTTACATAAAAATATGAAAATGCAACCCAAAGCACTACTGTACAGTTTTACTATTGTACTAATTGGGCCTACGGACTTTGGATGCTATTCATTATCTCTTAAAGGCGGCTGTTTAAAAAGAAGTTGGGAAAAACACAATTTACCATATAAAAGTGCAGTTACTTCACTGTTCCCTCAAATTAGCTGCTTCACTTGCAGTTGTTTCACGCAGTGACATTTTAGAGGATTTAAAAGGGCGGGGTTGCTTTCTACTACTGAATAACGACGACGTAAATTCAGCCACAGAAATGGGCAAGAAAAACAACGAAAAGGTGCATTCTCAGAAGTTTTCGGGCGGGTAAGTAGCCCCACAAGACTGTAGGCCTGGGTGGTGGTGGGACAAAGGGGCCGGGCCGAGCTCCCCAAAGCGGAAGCGGGTTCCGGAACCGCCGATGCGGCGGTTGATTTGAGACTCAGCGCGCGCCTGACTCCCCTGGCATGCCTGCCCGCTCCATCTGCACTCACTTCATAGCGGGTCCCGCGCTTGTCCTTCATGGTAGAGATTAGTAGGCAGGCGGGGCGCGGGCTGCCAGGCTCTCCCCTCGCGCGGGGCCGCAGCTGACTCCCGGGCGTCTGCTGACAAAGGCTCAGTATAGCTCGGACACCCTTGCCTCGGTTCCTGAGCCCCAAGGCCGGCAAGTGCCGGCTGATCACCTCCACCTCGCAGTGCAGCTTCATCTCGCCCTGGCGGCGGCATCAATCAAGTCACTCCGCTTTAAAACTTCCTCCTTCCCGCCACGCCGCGCCCGCCGGGGTCCTAGAGCAGGAAGGCTGCCCGCGGATCCGCCTGTCGTTGGATGAGCCGACAGCACTGGGTTTAAGCGTCCAGCGCTAGCCGCGTCCACTCTCTTTGTCCAGCAGAGCCCTTCCTGTGGTCGCCGGTCAGGGGAGCGCCGTCATCGGCCTTCTCAGGACCTGGCTCTCGCCTTTCGAAACCGGCGGCAGGCGAGGGCGCAACGTCCTCTCTCACGAGAGGTGCAGTTGGCTGCCGTGGCTGTTATTGTTTGGTACCGATTCCTACAGTCTCCACGGTTGACCGCTGAGTTTCCCAAAGCTAGGCAGGCATCCCTCTGTTTATGGGGAAATTACGAGCTGCCCCAGAAGCCAGAGAAGGCGCGGCATTTCCTGGGGAGGACGGGCTGGCGTTTTGGTGGCCCACTTTAGTTAGAATCCGACACCTGTCAATTCAGAGCGAAGCTTTAAATGACAGTATTTGACTTGGCAATTCCGGTTAAACAAATCTTGCTTTGCCACGGAGGGTGGGTTGAATGCAGTGATTGACTTGGCTGCATCCGAGACTAGGAAAGATCGTCCAGACCCCAGGTTCCCTTCCCACTCCTTATTCCTTTATTGAGCCCCTGGAAGGGCGCGGACTGAGATGTGGAAGGCGCGTGGGCCACAGACTTTAAGAGGCCATAGTCTGGGGTCGTAGTCTGGCTACCTTAAGGTTTGCGCTCCGGGAGCCTCCCTTCCCTTCTCTCACTTCTGGCCTGGTATTAAACATTCTATTTTGTGTAAGTTGTAGTTTGGTAATTGTGAATTCGCGTTCTGAAATATCAGTTTTTCAGTTGAACTGTGACGATTTCATGATTCGTCCTTAAATGAGCATTTCTGTTTACATACAATAATTGAGCCTAAAGTGTTACCTGTGGATTCTGCATTCTGAAAATAGTACTTGGTTCAGGGAAAATAATGATTAAGACAATAAATTACCACCACCCTCCATTTAGTACATGTACACCTAGTAGAGCATTGAAACTATTCATTGTTTAGCAACATTAATCTCATAAAAACGGAGAAAACTAAAATGATACCATAGAATTTTCAGACAGCCTTTGTGGGAGTTGTCTTATTTTTGTTCTTTGAATGGATAATAACAAAAGAAAATAATAAAACACCAGCCTTAAGGGAATATTACATTAAATATACTCTGAACCTGTAGGTACAGTTGGGAGCCAGGAACATCTTAAAACTTGTAAAAGCCATAGTAATTTTAATTAAATAGATTAGAAATGAATAAAAATTGATAGACCCAGCCTAATTCCCTCTTAAGATTGGGAGCCATCCCATCACAAAGGCATGAAAAGTTAATTTCGGCTTTACTATAAATTACTGTGTTTTCTAAACTTGCTTGGAATGCCTGCCTGTGCCTTGAACTCACCCATGCCTGGCTTTCCCTGACCAGATAACAACCCTCTCTGAAACTCTAGTGGAGCCTCATTAATTCTGATGTTGAGATCTAAATTTACTCCCTAAGTGCTGGACCATTAACCTACTACCTGCCTTTGTGTTATGCTTGTCAAAATTCTGTTATCTGTAAGTTCTTAAGACACCCTCCCTTTTTGCAACTTTCTGTGCTATAAAGCTGTGCTCCTAGAAAGATGCCATGCTGTCTTAAATTCCCACGGGTTTTGGGAAAGACAGCCCTGGCCAGTCTTTTCTTTGCATCATGGTTTAACAAAAATAAAGATTTTTTTTAAAAGCCTCCATGTTTTATTTGGTGTCACTTATGTACCTAAAGCATGAATTCAGTAAATAAATGTTAAATAGTTTAAATATATGCAAATCACATAACAGTTCAATGGTGATGTTAGAGAGGAACAGTGGCATAGAGCTACCAATTATCTTCTTGTCAGATTTTCAAAAGAAATGTGGGATTGCAAAATTTTGAAAAATAAGATTATCTTATTAAGTAAATTTAAATAAGATAATATTTGGAAATAAAGTAAACATCAGTTTTTGAGACCTCATTCTTCTTTTCTACATCTTCCCCTTAGTCCACTTAGTTTTTAATAGTTGAAATACTTGGATCTGACATTCTAGAGTATCCCCAAAGTTTTTTTTTTCCTTAGTGGGCTATTGGTGAAGCAGAGGATTCTATTGATACTGCGGGTTATCGGTGATGAGTCTTACTTCCCCACATGTTGAAGTTTGAACATTAGAGAAGCACCCTGAGGCAAGCATATAAAGCAGGGTTTATTTAAAAAGGGGTAACATAGACTTGTCCCAAGAAGGAGAAGGGTATCCTGGTGTCTTGAGAAGCGAGGTGTTCTACCCTTCTTATATGTCCTAGGCTTCCTTTGTTCTCCTGCCTTTTCCCCCTTACAAGACTAAGCCCAGGAATGCTGGTGGGAGGGCCAAAAGGTGGGAAACAGGTGGGCTGAAGGGGGAAGGGCAGGGTGGAGTAGCCAAAGACACGTGAACAACCTTATAGCTCCCTCTAGGGAGGAGGAATTCCTGGGACCCGTTACCTTGGCTACTGGTTGGAGCAGGGGCAGGTTCTTGATAAGATCCCTCAGGATCAGTCTCTAACTTCCCAGACTCACTCAAAATTGGCCTCCTTGATGAGACCTGACTTGATTCACTATCTACACTGACTGCCTGTCTAATTCTGGCTTCACTATGAACACCTATTCACACTTTTTTCTCTTTACCATCATACTTATGAAAACTGCCCTTTGATCTTTTCTAACCTCAATTAGCTCAAGCTAGATTCCATTGTAGGCTGTCTGAAATGGAAATGCGGAGTTAAATATTAGGCTTCAAGTTTTATTTTTAAATTTTTATTTTTATTTTTGCAAAAGGAATAAAATAACATGTAGATTTGTTTTCCTTCTGTAAAATTAGTTGTTCTTTCTGGCCTGAATACCACATTCATTCCCTCCCTTGTTACTGGGGGAAAACCCAAATAAACCACTAGCTTCATTCGTGCTTAGTTGAATTTAAAATAACTAATTTTGGAAGTCACACAGCTTGATCCTCTCTATTAACTTTGCTGTAAATAACACCTCTGATATGTGGCTTATAATTAGAATGGTTGGCCAGTTTTGCTAATAACACTTCCACCAGGCGACCAGCACACTGGTTTCATTAAAGAGGTTCGTGGCATAAAAGTTAACTAGTGAGATCAAAATAAAACACACAAACTCAATTACCTTTTTCTATGACCAGGTCCTAGACGGCTCTCACCTCTCTGGCTTACACCTCGAACCACCCGGTAGGGCAGCAAGTCTTACTCAGGGCTAGCAGGAGAGAGAGAGAGAGAGAGAGAGCACACCAGGGAGTGGCCTTTTATTGGGGAACAAGAAATTCAGGGGAAAATTCCATCCAATGAAGGTCGAGGGGGGCAGCATTCCAAGGTCAGGGTCAGTGATTAGCCTCAGGGTCAGTGGTCAGTCACACCCCCACACGGACAGACTCTCGAACCTGGAGAGGGTGGGGAAAGCTCCGACACAGTTTAGCCAGAGTGCCTCACACCCAATCCGGGAGGTGCCCAATCATGTGCAAGAATGGTTCCCCACAAACACTAACTCTTTACTTGGGCCTGCAGATGTCAGTTGGGTAACTGGAATGGGATGTCTTCATCTTATGTCTGTCTCCTTTATTGCCTCAACCTTAAAGTCAGAGTCTACTCAGCTCTGTATGCAGACTTGTTAACAAATAGACACCTGAACATTAAACCTCTAGTGCTCCCTTGCTCTGATGATACTCTTTGATCATATCTTGTAGGTTGTATTTCTGTAATAATTTCCTAATGAATACATTTCCATTTTCAGAGCCCTTCAATTCAGAGCTGTATTCTCTGCAGAACTATTGCTAAACTTACCTGTTTTTTTTTTTGTTGTTGTTGTTTGTTTTTTTGGTATCAGGAATTGAACTCGGGGGTATTTAACCACCAAGCCACATCTCCAGCCCTTTTTTGTATTTTATTAGAGATAGGGTCTCACTAAGTTACTTAGGGCCTTGCTCAGTTACTGAGGCTGACTTTGAACTCGAGATCCTCCTGCCTCAGTTTCCCAAGTCACTGGGATTATAGGCATGTGCAGCCATACCTGGCTTATCTGATCTTCTTTCTTCAATATATTTGTTCAAACATTTAAATTTTTTAAAAAAAATTTTTTAAAAGAGAGAGTGAGAGAGGAGAGAGAGAATTTTAATATTTATTTTTTAGTTATTGGTGGACACAACATCTTTGTTTTTTTGTATGTGGTGCTGAGGATCGAACCCCGGGCCGCACGCATGCCAGGTGAGCGCGCTACCACTTGAGCCACATCCCCAGCCCCTGTTCAAATATTTAATATTTATGTGTTCTTGCCTATATCAGCCCCTATACTAGATGTTTAGGAGGTAAAAATGAATTTATAGTATGTATGGAAAGACAAATAAGCCAACAATCAAACTATAATGGAACATATTTTAGGTGAGGTCTTAGAGGAGTATAAAAGTAGCCAGATGAGGAAAACTTGAATAGCTTGAAAGTTTTGGAGTACTATTGAATATTTTACAATGGGTGATAAAATTCAGATTTGTGGCCCGACATTAGTGGCACACCATGCTTGACTGACCATCTTTTTATAAAAACATTTTTTTTTTAGTTGTAGATGGACAATACCTTTATTTATTTATTTATTTTTTATGTAGTGCTGAGGATCGAACCCAGTGCCCTCCACATGTGAGGCAAGCACTCTACCACAGAGCTATCGCCCCAATCCCTTGACTGATCATCCTAACTATTTTGTTGTCCTATAGGATTTGGGGAGGATGTCTGGGTTACTTGGGCAAAATTATGATTAAGATCACTGTCCTCTTGTCAAACTGGATTCCTACAGGTGAGAAAAGCCAAACAGGAGGCATTAGAGATGCTTCTACCTGGGAAAATAGTAAATTAAAAACACATTGCATCCCTGGAGGGACTGCAGAAACTAGTGCAATCAAGGACTTGAAAAATACAGAGGTGGTGATTC